GACCTCTAGTAGTCTATGTGGAAAAGGGATGAAGAAAAAATTTTTCAATGATTTTGATTTTGAAAAATAGAAAAGTAAGATTAAAAATTTTTAATTTAATTTTTTATTGTTTTATCTCATGTCTTTTTCATTAAAACTTTATAAGCCCGCTTTTTTTATTGTTAGAATGAGTTATTAAAATTTTTTCTATCTCCTCCTCTCTTCAACATCCATCTCAAGCCAAACATATAATAAGGAGATAATAGAAAATCTCCAAACATACTTTAGGCTTCACCCGTCAGTCAATCGTTGTCACTCAAAATACGAGCGCGTTTGAAATAATATTAAAAACACTTATAAACATATTTTACATAGATTGAAATAAAATTTATCTTTATTTTATAAATTATGATTAAAAATCTAATTATAAGTTATTCCAAACAAAATAGGCCTTTCATACATCAAATAATTAATACTAACTGAGATTGTTAATATAAAAGAGGCAAATAACTAATTTGTAAATTTAAAGAAAAAATTAGTTAAGTTAGTTACTTATAATAAATAAGTAATTTGTCCTAAAATATCCTTATTAATCATGTACATTAGAATGAAAACCTTTTACTATGTGAGAAAAATAAATAAATATGATAGACAAAATAAATTAACGTCTTATATTTAGAACTAAATCAAATTTTTGACTAATTCTTATATATTTTGAATTAGAAGTAGTAAGTTGTTTGCTTATGCCTTCGATGTCCAAGCAACATGTTTTTTTCATTCAAACATGCCCTTGATTCTTTTTAATAATCAAGTATCGAGTTTTCATAACATATAAAAAATATTTAAAATTCGTCGCAGAATTTATATAAATTATTAATAAGTATTGAATAGTGAACTTATTTTAGATTCCATGTAAAACATAAGATCACAAGCTCATAATATTAAGACATCTGCGAAGAGCAGCAGCCACCACTCCATGAATTAAAGTAGCCCTCCCTTGATTTTCTCATCATCTCCCATCCATTAATATTTTTTTAAATATAAGAAGTAAATAATTAATTTATAAAAAAATCAATATAAAAACATATATTAATTATCCTAATACATCACATTTAATTATTTTTATTAAAAACTATGGATAAAAACTTTCTTTTAATACATGTAATTAATAATAATAGTTTAAAAAATATTTTTTAAAAAATAAAAATTGATACAAATTTTATTAACTAGCTTATTTATCGAAGAATGAGTGCAGGGATTTTTTTAATCAAGTTGAATATATATATATATACACAAACAAATATGTAAACGTTATACTCAAATTTAAAATATTATTAGGACCACTTGTTAAAGTGTGTCTGGGGATTTTTTTTCCCCGATGAGGAAGGATTAGAAAGGGTCGGAAAAGTAATTATTTTATTATATATCTGGAAATATACATGCAAAAAAAGTAAAAAGAAAAAAATGAAGGGACAAAAGGTCAAAGCTAGTTGAAGCATGTGTTGTGGTTGTTAAGCATATGAGGTGTAATGTCTTAGTCACCTTTAAACCAAAAACCAAAAGAATAAAATAAAAAATTATTCTTTATTTATGAACTTTTTGGAGCCATGAACGCCCAAATTATGCAGTGATGTGCTCAGAAGCAACCCTTATAATTGGGCGCTTTTTAAAAATTTCCTTTTTTTTTTAAATATCTTTCTGTTGAGTATTTTACCCTTTTTTGTAAGAAAAAGATATAATTTAGTTGAGTAGAGCTTAAGACAATCAACTGATTCTACAGTTACCACAAAATGATAAAATAGTTTCTTTCCTTCTTTTTTTTATTATTTACACTTGATTTTAAAGCAGCTGTACACGCATTGCTTTCAATGCTTTTTTTTTTAATTAATTATGACAATCATTAGATTCATTGCATGAATGATTAGAAAAGTCCATCTGTTTAAATCAAAGGGAAAAGGACATTAAAATACCTCCAAAATTGTAAAATCCCAAATCAATCTCCAAAATACTGCTAATTTTCAGACCAATCCTCTTGCATGAGATTTTAATATTTCGGTGAAATGACATTACTGCTCCCCACCTTTTAACTCAAATGGTATGAGCGTCCACTATTTTGTTATAGTAATTTGCAATTAAATTTGTGTTTATGAAAATAGTTGTCACTTACTAAGATAGCACGGTTATTCACTAATCAATTGTTGATACTATTTTCTGTTCTTAATATAAGATTTTATTTGATTTTTATTTTCGTCGTAAATATAAGACCCTAATTTATTTTGTCCCTCGTATTTATACTTTTTTTCCCCTAAGGTAGTCCTTATGATAATGGTAGTTCTAATTAATACACTTAATTAGTAAGGATATTTTATGAAAGACAACACTTATTTATTACAAATAACTAATTTAATTTATTTTCTTAATCTATTCAAATTAATCAGTTAATTTTTATATTTAGAATCAGAAGCAGTGTTTACCATGCTGTCCAAGTGATTTCATATGCCATGAAGTTTGAAGTTCGATAGTTATTTTATACCATTTTATTAGGAAGATGTAGCTGCTCAATAATTATATGTATTGTTAGGAACTAAAAGACAGTGAGATCAAATCTCATTTTAAACTATAGGGGTTGAATCTAGTAGAATGGATTAATTTTCATAATGTGGTGAACTAATGTTCAAAACCTTACTAGGAGATGTGTCTATTTTTAGTACCTGACAGTATCTCGAATAAATTATCTCTAATAAAAAATTATATGTAATTAGCAATAAATAAATGAATAAATAAAATATCATCTTAACCATCCTTTGTCAAATACTCCTCAGTCGTAGATGACAGTGGTGACTCCCGCTGACTAGCAAAGGTGGGAGTTTTTTTTAAGTGAGAAGAAGTTCTGAAAGTTCATTTTAGTCAAGAGAATTGTTTATCAAAAAATGATACCTGCAAATAAACCATTTTTAGTGGTTTCTAGATATAATTTCTTAACCTAAATAATTTTTTTTTTTTGAAAGTGGTAACTAAACACTTTTTTGTGAGTTAATAGGCATCAATGCACCCATGTGATATGTAAAAAATAATGGTATAATAAAACAAAACTTTTTATACGATGCTTTTATTTATGGAGCTATCATGAATTGTCTATTATCATCATCATTCATGATTACATAATTCATATTCTCACATGTGCCTTTAATTACTAATTATTATTAATATGTAAATATATTATTATTATTATTAGTTATGAGTAAGGTACATCTGATTTCAAATTTCAAACACACCATCAATTTCATATATTAACTTTTTTTTTTTTGGGAGAGGTGGGGGCCAGTCTGAAGATTCGGCTTTTGTAATATTGTAATAATTAAAGTGTCTTTAGTTCTACGATAGCCTCACTTCCTTAGTAAACACACCATAAACACAAAATCCCTTGATATTTATTTAATGAAACTTCCAAATTAAATAATACCATTTCTTCTCTTCACATATATTAATTTTAAAAAAAAACTGTCACATTTCAATTTTTTTTGTCTAAATTGATATTAATATCAATGTCATATATATCCGTAAAAAATCACCATTAAAAATCAGTTTCCAAACTCTGTAGTTGGCGTGATTTGATTTTATTAGTCAATCAAATTAAGTTTTTTGGAAAAAAAAATTTATTATTGGCGTCCAATTTGTTGTCATGAAATTTGAATTTCTAATTCTTTACAATGGATCTTGAATCTGTAATCTTGCATTTGGGTTCTTTTTCCCCACCTCAGCCCAATTGAATGCAATCGTTTTGATTTTTTTTTTTTCCTGTTTTTTCCACCAGCATTGAATGTGATCTGGGTTCTTATAAAAAAATTTCAAGGAGTGTTTCTGGCCAAGAAAATTGAAAACATGTGGGATATTTTCATTCAACATATTAAATTATATATTTTTAATGTATTTTTATTCAAAATATTAAAAATTATATACCACCAAATGCATATCCTTTTAGTAATTATGCATTAAAAACACTTTAAATTTATATATTATTCAAACAATCTTCGGTTTATTAAACTGATTTCTTTAAGAAAAAAAATACAAACATAAACTACATTATAATAATATTTTCAAATTTTAAATTAATAAATACACTTTTGACAAATTGAAAATGAAACACACGTAACATGTCGCCATTGCTTCCTCATAAATGGATTTGTTGGTGGCTAAATCACGTTTAGCTAGCATGACCAGAGTCAACTGAATCATACAATCAATTAATTAGCAAAATGGATTTGATGGTCGTCATTAGGTCTTTATGGTTTATCTTTTTATTATTTTTTTATAAAATAACCAATTATATTTTATGAAAAAATAGGAGAATTTCAGACAGATAACCAAATATAGGATGACGGGTGCCAATTTGAGGGAAAGTTTATGAGGCAAAACATGAAAAACTCCACTTACAACTATAACAATGACCCAAATTGACAACTAAATTAAAGTGTTGAACAATTTAAGAATAAAAGGACACCACAACCAACAATATTATTGCATGGTAAGATCATGGCTACAAACTGAGGCCAAGAGGTAGGTTGTATGCATCAAAAGAATAATATCAAGATATTAAATACACCACAAATAAAATTAGAATATTAGATGTAACTTAAAAATAACATCAGGCTATTGAATACTACTTTACTCATAAAATTAACCGTGTTAGGATTAGAGAACTAAAGAATTACTTTATAAAATCAAAGAACCAAACTAAAACATGGTATAAAGTTAGATGATTAGAAGTATAATTTTACTTATATTTAATCAATACTAAATCCGATCCTTAATATGAGAGCTGGTTTGACATTCAATTTGGTCCTACCCTAATCTACTTTTTTTTTTTGGTGAAATAAAATAAAATAGTTTTTGCAATAGTTATACATGTAAAAGATTTTATCAAATAGCAGTTATAGTTAATACACATTTTTAGTAAAAATATTATAGGAAATGTAACACGTCTTTATAGGTATTATATAAATCCATCACCTCATACAAAGTTAATACCAATAATGATCTGAGTAAAACATCAATGCAAAATTATTTCCTCATAGGAGAAGAATAATTTCAAGAGTTTAGATGGTAACAGATTCAAGTGATGATGATACGAGAAAGCAATATTACAGTCTCTGCGTTACGCAAGCCATGCACTCAGCAGGATATCTAAATCAATGCAAGCGTGTTTCAAATTCCAGAATGAAATACTAAACCCTAAACAAATATATGTGTCGCATAAGCAGCATTAGCAGATTAATAAAGAGTGATGCTTAATCCTTATAAGCTGGATGCTTCGTTATATTTGAATACGCAGTCATATAGACGTCCTCCTAGAAATTGGGCAACCTCTGGGTGCTTCACCTGAAAATTAAAATTTCATGGTACCAATCACATTTCTGAAAGATCATCAACAAGCCAATTGGTACGATCTCATCTTCATATTCGCTGACATCTTGAGAAACATGCACTTAAAAAGGAAAAAAAAGGTTCAATTTTTCATGTAGTAAGAAGCAACTAAAAGTGGTAAATGCATTACCATCCCAATCTTGAGCGAATCGCATTTAAACTGAGCATAAAGATTTGTTTCGATTCCACGACCCTGTCTCAAATGGGAAAAAAAGGTCAGCTTCTAACTCATTTTAACTGACATCGCTTAATACAGTTAAAAAAACGTGGAAGAGGAACTACCAAGTTTCCATCATATCCTATACCAGGTAACATATCCTGTAAATATACCATATAATGGAACCAGACTTGGGAAAGTCAGATGTCCCAGTGAAAAGCTGTGAGAATGAAGATCACATGCTGATCTTATACTGAGTTATAAAAAAGAAAAAGAAAAAGATGGTAGCTGTAAATAAGAGTTGATCAGGGCATAAACCCAAGGGAGAGGGAGGGCCATCAGTTAATGATCTATGCAGTTTCCCAATCCGAAGAAGAAGAAGAAGAAAGAAAGAAAGAAAAGGCAGATTGAATACTCTGTATTCTTGGGAAATTAAGGCCACAGCATAGCAGCTTAGGCGTGAAATGGCTTAATGGGGTTGACGATATGGAAAGAATTTTCCAATTCCCTTTGTATGAATGAATGAGAAAGGTGAAACCCCACAGAGATGATAAGCTAACCTCATTCTCATTAATTAAATTTCAACATTCTCAACTTTAAGATAGCAACATTACAAAGTGTCTTAGTTATTAGACAATAGTTTCTCTAAATCAAAAGATCCCCTGGCTGCTCTAGAATTACAATTTCCGCCTTGACATGCGAAAATCCCAAGGATCCAAAACATAGTATAATTTGTGACTTGAAACTATTCTTTGTTCTCCAACAATAGACATGTATGAGACCTTAAGAACCCATTTGTTATGCAAGGCAAATATGCTCCACTTCCAGGTTTTGGCTAAGTTTCATAAGTCCAAAAAAATTTACTGGACTTTTCTAGTGTCTCCAGGTGTGTTCCCATTTTTTATTTATAAGTGGCATGAAGAGGGAAAGTGCAGGCTCATTGTGGTTTACTGAAGACAAAGGATGATCAAGACATACAATAATAGCCTCGTATATTGCTATAGACATTACTTCATGCTAAAACCCTCTTTCTTCTTTTTGATTCAGACTGGGTGTATTGATCATTAGAACATCAAGCCCCTTGATCCACCTAGCTATTTTTCTACGTCAAGAATTATTACCTGACCCAACAGCTTGAGCTGTTAAGCAAGGGCCCCCAACCTTATTGGCTTAGAAAGTTGCTTTGTTAATTGAATTTGTGCTTCCACAATAGGTGGGTCAATGTCTCCAACTCTGATGGAAGATTAGAACTACTATTCAAGAAGCTATGAAGCTTGCTTCCATGGATTGTACAGTCCAAAATCATTCGGTTTGATGTCTAAGGAACCAAATGTAGAAAGTCTTCTTTGGCAATCTGTTTCTCCCTTTTTCCACAATCTTTGCCTAGAACCTTTCCTCTGGGTCAAAAAGATACATCAGAATATTCCTCCAACCAGACTCATTTATTATATTCCAAAAAATGCTTGACAGTCCTGTTATCCTTAACCCCACCTGCTGAAATCCTAATTCCTTATTAGCTACATTGTTTTGACCGTCATAGCCCAACAATGCATGCATCTTGATCATTGTGACTATAATGATCCACTAATATCCAGTGACAAACATACCATCCCTTCCAAGACGACAAGATCTGCATCACTGGCCAGATATGCAAGCTCTTGTGATACCCTCGCAAGATCAATAACCTGCAACAAGTTGAAAAACATTAAAAGCATTGATTATCAGTCAAGCCACTGACCTAACAAATATATACATATATATGTGACACAGCTTATTTTCTTACCGGCAAATCATTGCCAGAGTTAGCAATTAATAGATTTGAAGCATCGACACCCTGGAGCCTCCCTTCTTCATCCTTTAGCTGATGACCAACATTATACATTTAGCAAACTATATAGTAATACCAAAAGTTTATCAAATGTGCAATTACCTTGGATATAATTTCAACTAGCTCAGGGTAAGTCACATCATTGATGGAAGGTAAGTCATTAGCAGCCAATACAACCTGAATTCGAAATAGAATCTCATCAACATTGCTGAAGGTGGAGCAGTGCAAGAACAAGTTTTTTCCTTTTTCGACCACGCATGAAAAATTGAAAAGCAATCTCAATTTTAAACCAATATTTAAGGAAAAGATACCAAACACCTGAAACATGAAAGTCATAACAACAATACATATTATGAATAGAACAAAGAATTCCATAGGTCTAATTACATAGTCAATTGAAAATCAAATATAGGTTCAGTAATTAGTTTCTTGATGAATCCTGTGAAATGAAAAGCAAAATAACAAGAACAGCAGATCCTCAAGCTCTTCACCAAGGGAAAAAAAATGAATTACAACTGTTTCAAACTTCAATACATTGTCAACTGTGCTTTTTAGGAATAAAAAACAGAAATGGATTTCTGCATACCGCACTCCCACGCCGAAGAAGCTCCCTTGCAAAGGGCAAAATACCCAAAATGATGTCTGCACCAGAGTTATCAACAAATATGATAACCTGTCATTTTAGAATAAACAGATTAAGACACTATTACAGCATAAAATATGCCAAAAGAGATGAAATCCAATGTTAAAATTGTTTTGTTTCTTATATAACACACAAACACTATACTTGCCTTCTTCCAGGGCTTCTTGCTCCATTTCATTTTGAAAGTGTCAAGGTCATCAATAACCCAAGGTCTAGGGACAAGATTTTGACAACTAGCTAAGAAGGACATCCCATCTTTAGAGAAAACCTCTGCAAGCTTCAAGAAATCGTAAAAAGATGAAGGTGATACATAAACTAAGCATTGCTATAATCATCAAATTGCTGGCATATAAAAATAAAATATGGCAAAACAAATTATTTTCTGGTAAACGTATAACCTCCGTATTGCTAACATACATACTAGAACATATTTATGTTTTTCCATATATCTGGTTTCCGAAGCAAAAGTTTTAGGCTATGCTTTCAATCATTCAAGGAAGGTGATACCAGAAACAACTAACCAAAAACACTGGCCAATACCAATTAACTGCAGGTAAGGAGCATCGATTTGAGTGATGATTAGCCACACTATGGAGCCAATATCCACCAGAGGAACTAAGCCAGAAGCAAAAGCAGGGGGGCATAGGGCTTTTAATTTGAAAGAGTAAAGAAAAATATATTACAAACAGACATGGCTTAACAAAACAATATCTGCTCACATCAAGAAGCAGGCTTAGTTCACTGTGGTCCACATTTTTAATTATGTGGACTCATCTAGATGTCATTGCAGTAAAAGAAAAATAACCAACCTGAGCAGAGCCAAGATCAAATATGTTTCCCGCAAAAATCCCTCTAACTAGATTCTCAAGTCGCTTGCCTTCATCTTCAATTGCATCATTAAGGCGAACAACATCCTCAAATAGGGAGATGGCTTTTGCGTTCTCTTCATCCTAGTACATATAATCACGAAAGAATTCACAAATCACTGGTAAATGAAAAGGAACATATATGTCAAAATCTCATTCTTACACCTCTCTTAATAAGATTGATAACAGCATTTTTAATAAATCTTCAATAATGGTAGTAGATATCATTTTCAGTCTTCCATATTTGGAAACAATGCCATTCAATGTGCCTTTATCCTCGTGCAAAACAGATATCCTGATGCTTTACTTCAGCATAAAAGACAGGAAATTTCAGAATGAAACTTACCTTGACTTTCTTGAAGATATCTCTGAATCCCAGTTCTCTAAGTACTAGCTCACGAAGTCTGCAGAGAAGCTAGAATATCCCCCGCCCCATATTATAAAGGGAGAAAATGGGAGGAAATTAGATATATCACCCAATATATTTACATTTTTGCTATTTCAGGGGTTTGGACAAACTAAATCAAAAAACAAAATAACCCAGAGAACATACTATGCAATCTGGAGGCCCACCATGACTTTCTGGATCTTTCTTTAAATCTTCAAGTATTTCAGCATACCTTTTACAAGAAAATGCATTTAAGGTGAATAAGAGATCATATAAATATCCTGTCATCAGTTAACCCTCCAAACCTAAGAACTAAATATTTCATCCAAGCTTACTTTCCAAAAGCATGCTCATCTCAATGTTGCTAACTAAAAAACGCACACGATAAATCTTTTCATGCAAGTAGGAAAAAAGCAGCAAGAGATCACCTTTGAGCAAATTTTTCAGCTCTGGAAGCAGCGTCAGGAACAGAAGTATCACTCTCTGCACGCTTCCTGTATAATACTAGATTAATTGCTGATGTAAACACATACAATTGTTTTATAAGTATATTAGAAAAATACATTATATTTCTTAACCTTACTAAGCCATAACTATTAGGGTTCATAGGTTTAGTTGGCTGCTACTTTGATTACTTTGATATCTTCAGATCTAGGAATACTTTATAAGCCATTGTGTTTGATGAATATGAGTTGTATTTTGGCTTGTTTCCACTATTTAAATGTGTAAAGTCTTATTTAATGTCTTAGCATTCTTAATTATGCTAGAGAAACAGAAGGTTATAGAATTAGACCTTAGAACAGTGTTCCTTACCCTTCGAGGAGAAAAGTTCAAAAGCGATAAATGGAGTGGTCAGTTTTACATATTATCACAGCAAGCTGCTCTCTGATTGATTCTATAATGTAATGAAACTGTGACTATAGCATCTTCATTAATATTCTCAACTTTATTCTCTTACCTCAAAGGTACTCCGATCTATATCCTAAGGCAGACAGCATTAAAAGTTCATTTTGTTACAACCTAAATGATTCTAGCAACTGTAGAACCCATCAAAGCCAAAGTCTTAATATGCTAGGTAACGTTACCCCGTACAAATCAACGAATTAAAACATTAGAGCCGCATCATGGCTCTCAATATTTCCTCTATTGGTCCAGGGAGATTCCATAACAAGCCCAATATATCCTACCCCTTCAGCTGTCTAAACTCATACTGGAACCACACAAGTTACATTGAAAACCATAGCATTAATTTGTTGAACACTTCAATATTTACATGTTCTTTTTGGTCCTTTTTCAGCATTGAAATTACCAAACATTCAAATGCTCTAGCTTTCCAAGGACTCCGTTCGAATACCTGTACAAAAACCAGCCTTTCGTAGTACCTCTGGTAGCAAGCAATAGTATCAAATTAACCCAAACCCATTTCCGAGGAAAATTTATAAATTGCTAGTCTAAAGTTTAAATCATGATATTCCCGAGCTACATCTTCAAAAGAAGGACTGGCTTTCTGAGGCTTGAGAACAACGATCTTTGTGTGTTTAGCCTTGTAGCAGACATTGACAACTTAAGTACCAACTTATAACTCACAAGAAGAGCATCTAGCCTTGATATCAAACAGTACAGGAGAAACAATTTAAGTAAAGACAAATGCTTGTGAATACAACCGAGATCCAACGGACACTACAAAAACTCGGGTCATGACGGTGTGCAGAACGACAAAAGTAGCTTCCTGAAAATTCGGGACCGTAACAATTGCAAATCCTAATGAAAGCTGCCATTTGGGACTAGAGGCGACTGCTTCACAGAAACTAAATTCTACAAGTAAGCCGTGCTGCCATTGGAAAGCTGAAAGATGGTGTCTTTTATGCCTTGTGATGGTTATTCATTCCATAAAGCATATAATTTGTTTAAATTCAACATCAATCAATGCTCTGAAAGGTTTTGACTGGAAACGAGAATCAAACTAATCAATGCAAAGATCATGGAACCCATCCAAGAATAAGAGCAGATATGAAAATGCACGAAGAAATATGTGAAATAGTATTTTGTTGCACAACAGTCAAACGATCAAGAACCAGTCGCATAAACTAGGCAAATAAGTAATTACGCTCGACACAAGCAGTGCTTCCTTTTGTGTGACATGCAATTCTGGGAAGTAGTGGGCAAATAAATAAAATGACTAAAAAACGTACTTGAACGAAGGAATAGAATTATAGAAGAGATCAATCCAAGACAGCTCGGTAGGAGTAGGCTTGCGTGGATTATCAGACGGGAATCTGTAAGGAATAGTGCAGGCTCTGTAATTGGAATCGATCGGGGTCAACAACAATGGGAATTCTACCAGCTCCGATGCGCTCTCCATATTGGTTTCTCGTTGATGGTGTGATTCCACAGTGATACAGGGGATGATCAAATTATGTACGACTGGTAAAAATGAGATTAAAGTTCGAATTTTGTTCCAGGCCAAAGCAAAAGAAACGCGATGCCGCAGAGCCGAAACGATGTTGCGCTTTTAGCTGCGGCTTCTGGAGTATCTGCCCTGTTATTCTTTGTATTGCGTGGTCGATACCCAACGCCTCTGCCAATTGTGAACTGAACAGAGAACGGCGAATCACACTTAGAGAGGGTGTTTGGATAGAAAGGTTTCAAAAATGTTTTTACTTAAATATACAGAGGAGATTATCTCGTTTTATAAAAAAATGATTCTGAAACTTTAGTTTTGATTTTGCCAAACACCCTCTGAATATCTTCTAGTTTATTAGTCCAATAATCAAATACTTAGCCTTTGAAAAACGTAAATTAATAAAACAGGGAAGTTAAAGCTTTGCCAAGCGGCAGAATTGTCATTGTTTTGTCACTAAAAACTCAAAGCTTTGTACTTTTTTCGTAATTCATGAAGTAGCTTATTAAGCACAATTCTGGTCATTTTTAAAATGAACTCAAGTAAATTCTACTTAATATTTGTATATTTTTAAAGTTATACGGAAAAAAAAAAAAGAACCGATCGTTTATTGGTGGAAGCATGTGGCCCCATTAAGGCAATAATGAAAATATACAACAAATTTTTATCTTTTTCAAAATTTTTAATTCATACTACCTCCGATCCTAATTATAAGAGTTGGTTGACTAATTTGAGGAGATTAAAGAAGTAAATTGAATTAGTTATTTGTCCTAAATAGATATTGTCTTTTCTAAAATATCCTTACTAATCAAGTGTATTAATTAGAACTATTATTGTTAGAAGGGTTACTTTGGAAAAAAAATATAAATATGAGAGACAAAATGGATTGGGGTCTTATATTTATGATCAAAATAAAAGTTAAACATGGTCTTATATTAAGGACCGGAGGTAGTATATATTAAACACGCAATTATACTATTATACTAATAAATACGTAATTTTTTGAGAAATTATATGTACCATATTTTAATTAACAAGTTTTACACATTGAAACATTTAATTTTCTGATTATTTTATACCTTAAAACAGAAGAAGCTATCAGTGTTACATTCATCTTTTTTTTTAATTGTAATTACATTCTTCTTTTTTTGGTAACCCATTTACATTTTGTTCATGACCTGAGCTGAGACGGCGCATCACTGCATGTGCAAACTGTAGGGTTTTGGCCTTTTAAGACGGGCTGTCAAGGGTTTAAGAGAGCTGCGAATTCCATTGTGGAATCCTGAAACCCTAACGTCATTGAGGATTTCACTGGAACAATGGGATTCTGGGGTTAGTAACCTCGTTGTTCTTCATAATTTTTTTTTTTTTATCTTCTTTCGCATTTCATTTATTTTTCCCGGATTGATTACGGGCTCAGTAGCTAAAGTTTTCTCGGCTAGTTTTTTTTGTTCTTCACTCAGCATCCCAACGCATCCCGTTTTTAGAAATGAATCTTGATTCTTACTTTTATTTCTTGGATAGAGGGATTTGCTGCTTTTGACCTTTTCTTATTGACCCTCGATGATTTTGATCCCTTGACTTACTTTTCTTTAGTTGTAATTCTCCTTTTTAACCGCAGGTATCGAAGTGAAACCTGGGAAACCTTATCCTTATCACGCGGACAATGTGCAGGGGAAGCTTCATGTAACTCAGGTCTCTTTTGCACATTGAAGTCCAAGTTTTTATTTTTCACATACTAAATCGAAGCTGTGTCCTTAGTTTAAGTTCTCATTGATTTTCTGAGTTCTGCTATTACTCTAGGAAGCATAGAGACCTCAAGCAAGGAGCTTTGTCCATATCTATGTCCTGCGTTTACAACATTACGCTTTATGTTGTGTCGGATACTTATAATTTTGTCATGTCAATTGCCAATGGTCATGCTTCTTAAGTTATAATAGCTCTTAAGGTTGTAATATGTTTTATTTCTGCAAGTCAAGAATCAGGTTGATTGAACATACTATGATAAACTTAGAGCTATCATTGCCTTATCTTATACACTATAATCCATTCCATAACGAGCATCCACAGTAAGTGTAATTAGGTGATTTCGTGATTCTTCTATACCAACTTAACCAGGGACTCTTAGTGATTAGCATACATGTACTTGCATGTATAATTGTATCCATATGTCTGCTAAATGCATGGGGGACTTCAATGTTTCTAAATTGAGTCAAACAACGTTGATTCCTTATGTATCTCCATTTCCTCTCTTAATAATTCAGGCAACCTTAGGCCTTGGCTCATCAATTGAGAAAAGCATTCTCCAATGTTCTACTGGACATAAAAATCCAGTCTTTTTATGCTCATTGCTGCCAAATAATACTGAGTCGTGCCCTTTGAATCTTGAGTTTGATGAAGATGATTTAGTGGCCTTCTCAGTCATTGGTCCACGAAGTATCCATCTCTCTGGTTTCTTTGAAGCTGCTGATGGGGATGAACTTAGGGATGACTATGAGTAGTATCCTTTTTGAATAAGTGCCATTGATCTGATTTTTAATTTTGTTCACGTGTGTGTGTGTGTGTGTGTAATTTTTGATGAAGACAGTACACGGTATATTACTATTATATATTTCCCATGTTTCCCTATGACAATGTGAAAGTGATTCTTTTGGAGAGGGTATTGCCGATACAGAGACAGAGGAGTCTTCTGAATACAACACTGAAGATGAATATGCGGATGGCTTCATTGATGATAGTGATATTGAGTCTTATCCACCTTCACCTGTCCCAAACAGTGGAGGTAATTTGATTGTTTTGCTGAACCTTCTTAAACCATCAAATCAGCATGCGTGTTTCTGTTATTATTCCTAACAGGTGTTTATAAGACGTTTTATATAGACAGATGCATGAGCATTAAATTAAATATAGTCTCAAATCTTATGTCCGCTGGACTGTCATACCCAAGTACAACGCATGAGAAGCGCTCAAATCAATGTTTATTGATGAAATGTTAATCTGATTATTGGTCATTCTTTGCACATGTTATATTCAATACAAAAACAGTGACCATTATAATCTTTTCTGTGTATTGCAGCTATACATAGTAATCATCCCATATGATGCACTATTCACAGTATGTTTTTAACGTACATTGAAATATGCAGATCAAGTTTATATGATCTATTGCTTCTCTTACAGTGGTAATTGAGGAAATAGTAGACGATGATAAGCCCGAAAGTGGAGATAATGCTTCCAAGAAGTCAAAGAAAAAGGTTCAAATGCCTAACTCCAAGGATGGCAAAAATTCCCAGCAGCAAATTGTTGTTAGGGGTGATAAGGGTGTCCATGTTTTGGAAAGTGAAGATGAAGATGGTTTTCCAATTTCTACTTCTCTGATGGAAGAAGCAAAAGGAGAAAAGACACATAAGAAAACTGAGAAGGCCAAGAAAAAGAAAGTGAAAGATGATGACTATGCTGCAACACTGAAACGAAAAGTTGAAGGTGCTGACAAAGATGAGCATCTTGAAGGGTGAGATACTAGATTGATTACTTCTAAGAACTAGTTTTATTATGACATTTTCTGTCACTCTTCTAGGAGTAAGGGGAATGAAAACAAAATAAAATTGTATTACAAGAAAGAGAAGAATCGACCCCCCCTGGTGTCCTCCCGCTGGAAGTCTGTGTTGCACTAAATATTTCTCATGATGATTTCAGGAAAAAGACAAAGAAAAAGAAGTTGAAAGAACAAGGTAAAGGGGACAGTGCTAAAGTATCTGGTGATAGCATTGAGACTCATGATGCTAGTTCAGATGGTAAGCATCCTGCTGAGGTGAAAATAACACCCAGCCCGGATCATGATTCTCCTGCTGAGGATCAGCGTAAAGGAAATGCATACAATGAAAAGTAAGATCATCGATTTGTTTTGTTCATACTGTATTCTTGTGTTTTAATAAATTAGGGAAAGTATTTTATAACATGTCAACTTCCTTACCTGGGGAATTCTCATTGATTTGAAATTAGATCATAGTGCAGTCATTTGTACTGAAATCTCTCCTTTATTAACATTGTAGATTGCAGATTAAGCTCATAAGTGCTCACAAAATACAAGCTCTTGCTCCTAGAAACTCTGAATAGCCTGTAATTTGAAGCAGCTCAAACCATTAAAATTGCAAATTAATGCTAATGACATAAAGGAAGGTTTTGGGGTTAGAATTTGTAGATTTAGTGAGAGGTTGAAACAAAAATGTGGAACTAGAAGGGATGTGATCTGATGTGTTGTGAGCTTATGTTTTACGAACGTTAAGTTGAAGGTAATCAAGTTTTGTAATTAATCACCTTGTTTAAATTTCTTGTGCCTATGGACAGCATTCTTGATGGGAAGAAAAAGAAGAAGAAGAAGAAGACTAAGGATGAAGGGGGAACTAATGCAAATCAAACTTCCACAGCTACGGGAAATCAGAATATATCCCCCTCTGAGAGAGGAGAGGAGGAAATAGAAGCCAAGCCATCTCAAATAAGAACCTTCCCAAATGGGTTAGTTGTCGAGGAACTATCCATGGGTAAACCAGATGGCAAAAAAGCTACTGCTGGAAAACAGGTCGTTCATTATATTGAACTTATTGATTTTTAGATGGTTGGAATGTCTGAATAATGATTATGCGTGTTTTTTTTCCAAGTACAGCTTTTTTCCCATTCTGGCATGAGAACTTATGTATTATGTATTACAAGTTTCAATATTTTAGGAGCTCACGTGTTTCAATCTTTATTTATACTTATCTTGATTTAAGTCTGAATGCCCGTGAAGTGATGTCAGATAAATTATTCAGTATTTTGGTTTAGTGATATAGAGCAATTGCTAAGAAATAAGTTGAAAGACATCCTGAATTAAGCACCTCTGTTAATTATTACTTTATCCATAGTTGCTCTGATGCTTCTGGTCCAGGGTGCAGTTCATGTGATTTAAACTCGCTGCACTGTAAATTAAAAAAAAGAAAAAAAGAAATAACCTTTGACATTGGCTATAGGCATTTTTATTGGTATTTCCCGCATGGCCATGATGGATATAACCACAAACGAATTTATGCATGTTACGTCACTACTACAATAATTTTACTTTAGAGTATTTGGTTTCTTTTCCCAACTTCTCTAATCTGTTCAGCTAATCACGGGATCTAGTTTTCTTTCAGATCAGTGTTAGATACATTGGCAAGCTACAGAAAAATGGGAAAATATTTGACTCAAATATTGGAAGAGCACCCTTTAAATTTCGCCTTGGTATATATTTTATTGATGTGAGTGGGCAAAATATATCTTTACCTGCATATTATCTTTCCCTAATTTCTTTCTGATTTGCAGGTATAGGGCAAGTCATAAAGGGTTGGGACGTTGGGGTCAATGGTAATATATACTAAATTTACTTGAATTCTGATGAGACTGATATGCCTTTATATTTTGAAATATACACAGATCTCCCTTAAAGTAACAGTTATGATACTTTTTCAAATTTACATTTGCTTAAATACATCTTTTACTAAAATAGATGGAGGGTATTTTGATATCAAAAAAATGGGACTAAATATAAAATAGAATGTTTGTGTGAGTTGAACAAAATTTAGGAGAAATGTGTAATTAATTTATTACTTGCTTTTTGAAGCTGTCACAACATTCCTTTACTGTAATTATCTTTTTCTTTTTTTTCCCTCAGGTATGAGAATTGGGGACAAAAGAAGAATCACAATTCCACCATCCATGGGGTATGAATTTGCCTCATTTTCCTTGCATTTTGTTATCTTCAGCGGTCCCATTGACTAATTAAATTTCCCTTTCGACATTACCTCTTTTAACTCTTGATTGTTTTAATCTGGTTTTGCTGCTGAAAATTGTTTACCCGATCATAAATGGGGTATCATATTTATGACCCCATGATTTGTATTTAAATGATTTGGGTAAATCTAACAAAGAGCTTCGCCATCTCTAGAATTGATGCTCTTCAGTTTCAGCTGCAATTCTGATTTATAATTCAACCAAGAAAGATTAAATATGCGGAACCGGATCCCTCAAAAGGTTGAGCGTTTTGTAAAACTTTCCTGTGTATTTTTTGTGCTAAGTTGGGTTATATTTTTTGGTTACAGTTATGGAGATAAACGTGCTGGAAGCATACCTCCAAATTCTTGGCTTGTATTTGATGTTGAGTTGATCGATGTTCGCTGATTTCACTGCAGATTCTCCCATTAGGGCAGGAAACAAGCGCCCTATATTTATACATTTGCCACCATCATAGGCTCAAGTGTCAAATATTTTGTGAGTACAAGTTTTGAATGAGTTTGAATTGAAGTAGGACTCTCCATAAGTCCCAAAAGATCAAAAATTAGACCTATACAGTTTTGTCAATGGAGTTGCATTTTACTTTGGATAACGTAATTCAATAGTCATCATGAGATTCAATGTTGCATAGCAAAATGAGTTCTGAACACGATGAAATCTGAGGAAATTTTTTGGTCACCCTCGTTTTCCCTAGTGTTACTACAGCTATTTTTCCTTTTTGTTGCTTGAAATGATCTGGGTATAAATCCTTTTGATGAATTTTTGATGATGCTTAATCATGAACTGACAAATTAGAAATCATGCCCCAAAATTTACTTATGATGCATCCATTGGATTTTCAGTCTAGGTATTTTTTCTCCAGGGCGATGTATATATAATTATTTAATTTTGTTTAAAATATTTATGTTTCTCTAAATATATAATAATTTAATTAGTATGATTTATTTTCTAGACTTTGTGTGGTTCATATCGAGTCAATACCAATTCAAATGTTTAATTGAAATTAAAAATTAAGAATTTAAACTTTAGAAAGAATGGATTAAAGTGGGATAGTACAAATTGTTTATCAGTTGAAAATATTCAGATTTTACAAATCCAGCTAGAAAGGAACATTTGTGAATTCCATTTTTGATGCTCTTCGATCTACCATCTAACCTCTCGTAAGGTTTTTACATATCATCATTTGTCACTTGAACCGTTGAACGAGTACAGCAAAGTTATCGTAGAGCCAATCAATGATTTAATTCTAATTTCAATTCAAGAGAAGCACCACCAACATCAAACAAGTTTATCACAGATGTCAAATGAGAGACTCGAAAATAAGAAACCAAAATAACGATGAAAACTCGGGTGCAATTTTTTCTTTCAACAACAAATGATATTTAGTGTTACAGTTCAGAAGACACCCGCATTCCACTCAACATTTCGGTCATTCCGAGCCAATGTGGAAAAAAGGAAGAAAATAGCACAACGTATTTCCTACATCTAACTGTTACACTACAGATACATCATAAGAACAGACACATGAAAGCCTACCCAACAAACATATTTCCTAACGCCTAAGTTTTAACTGGTACAACAACAGTTAAAAACACTCATCTGACTATCAAGGTCCCTTGATCCGGAACCTGACAGGTTAAATGTCAAGTGTCAGAAAGAGTGAGTGAGCCTAGATGCGGGTGACTTGGGAAGAATATTGCATTACCAGCAACCATGTTTAAGCAGGAATCCCAGCATTTGATAGGCTGGTGTTGGACTCCTTCTCAGGAAAGGACGATCTATCATCGGTAGATGAGTCCCTGGAGCCTTGAACATTGCTAAAACAAGCAGCATTGTCTCCTTGAAAAGCTGGTGTTAGAATAGGCTTTACTCCTCCAAAACTAACATGAAATTCTTGGTCAGAGACAGGACTAAAATGGGGAGGTGTGACAGTAGATATATACTCCGTCTTCTGCTTCTTGTGTTTGTGTTCCTGCCGGTAACCTGGAAGGAAACTACCCACGACAACCTGAGGCGTAAAAAATGTATGAGAATGTAATTTGGTTCTTTACCGGTGTCAAGTGTCTTTTCAACTCAAAAACCTTGAACTACTAAGTGAATCTCATATGTAATCTCTAAATTGCCCCTCACAAGTTAGATTTTGGGGAACTCAGGCCAACATGTAGCCAGTGTTGAAACTCAATTATAAAAATGAAAGACTGCAGCGATTGAGCTTTTAAGAACGTAGACTTCACAACATCAGAAAGTGCTCGAATATTATAACTTTGTAATGAATATTCCCTTAAAACTAAGATAGTGTACCTGCACAGGGCCTGCAGCAACCAACAGACCAGCAAGTCCACCCCCAACCACTCGACCATCTGGACCTGCCAAAGACACACTCATTCCACCAGATCTGCTCCTTGTTACCCCATTCTCAGTTGGCATAAATGAACCAGACAAAGAAAGAATCTCAAATCGTCCCTATAAAAGCATCGAATAAGCCACTAATAAGGGAAGATATTAAAAAGTACAATTAAAAAAAAACCTAACACTAACATCGACTAGTGGGTGCAATGCCAGAAAGAGCAGGTTGCATTTGCGCAAAGAATGTCGATGTTACATATTTTGAAACCCACTTACTGTTTTATATGAACTTTATAGGTAGAGAAGTATTTAGGACTACACTCACCTCATAAGTTAAAGTACCACCCGAAGAAGTTGGTTGTCGAAGTGTTACATTTGAAATCATGCCATTCGCAGAAAGAACGCAAATGGCACGAGATCCCTGTTGAGAGAAGGACATGACCTTCATGTTGACATCCTATGGCAGACCAGTGGAAAATCAGAATACGTACACAAATACAACAAAGACAACACACTTATTTTCCTGCATTCACAATCTTCGGGAACAGTGATATGATTCCATTGATTGTTATCATTATAATAATGTTATGCATGCATATATAAACAACATATTGAGGCATATGTATGCAAATACTCGTACGAATTCACTGAAGCATATAGTTAACACTACTCTGTATAAAAAGGGGGGGGGTTTACCACCACTCCTGATTAAAGACTAGATTGTCATTAATAATTACTATGAAGCGAACAATTTCAATCTCACACAATTATTTCATAGGTTGTTAAAGGCATGTCATAAATATTGGCAAACATGCAGGCATACATAAATACATACACATTTTATTCAAATAAATAAATTATTAAAAACATACATTTTTTCATGCAAAAAGGAAAATATAATACATCACGTGTGCCTAGGTAATTTACGCTTGACACATCAGATTAAAAAATTATGGCATGGTACACAGTAATGAAATGATTAACCATGCATTTCTTCTATATCATACACAGACGATAGAATCCGACCAATTCATGATATCTAGAGCCAAAAGGCAAATGAAATGAATACCTCGCCAGCGTTAACTGTAAGTATATGAGGTGTAAAATTGGCACCAACTGAGTATGCGAGTCCATTACCTATAAAACGTAGGTAGATAAATGAATAGAGAGACGGAGAATAACTGGTTACTAGTTGAGAATGACAATTTCTGGAACACGATCCAGTTGCACTTATTGTTTCGTTAAATAAAAGGAATTCACAAAATCAAGTAAACTTCATGCAGCATCCAGACATATGCAACACACTTTTCATTTCTTTCAGAAATACAATAACCACAATTATTTTCTTTAAAAAAAAAAAGAAAAAAAAAAAGAAAACAAAGGGGAAAGCATGTTAAGAACTCTGGCCTCATACAGGAGTTGCAATCAATGTCATATCTAAACTAATAAACTCTGTTGTATATAAATCTATTTTTTAACCAGACAATTAAAGCTGCGTCAAACAATTAGAACCAGCATAGAGCCTTTAAATATAAAGAATCAGCATGTCCTGCTTCAAAGCTGAACATAACAAATTAATTAACTACCATAAAATGTAGTGTCACAAGTCCTGCCTTTTGTGACATGCACATGTATCTAACACAGAGAACACTAACGTTCATAGAATTTAAAACCATCATCCCAGAGTTCACTCTTTCATCCATGGCGATAATATAAATATGAATAGTACTCATTCGAAATCATGTCATTTCAAGAATAATACTTGCTCATCATCATTAATTAGCAATATGCCAAGGTTCCAGGCCAATCATATCCTGCAAGGCAGGAAGCATGCTTTTAAAAATACATTTTAGTTTGAGGTCTCTGCCGGGAAACAACTGGACATGTCAGCCCCTCCTATTAGTCCATCACTTTCTCTGTAATTATTTAAAAAAAAAAAAATCTTGCCCTTCCTGAAAAGATAGATGACTTGACTTCACCTTTTTATAGATTTTACAGTAACCTATCCCTTCCTCCTTCCAACTTCTATTCCAGATCTGAAAGGAATCTAAGCTACAAGTCCCATTATACCATTATAAAGACACTAATCGAATCCCAGAAAATAAATATGCATTGATAAAAGAAAGATCAAAGGAATTAGTTAACCGTCCACATGGTTGGATATGTACCAAGGAAAAAGTCAGATAAGATTCCCATGCCTCAGAAGTAAATGACAAGGCTATAAAGAATCCAACCTACTTATTGTCATCCCATGTTCGAGGAGACCAAATGTAACAGTAAAACGGAACCAGCAAAAGATATTACAGTAAAACAAAGCTCAAGCAGTAACTGAAGTGAAAGATCAAAGTGCGAGAAAATTTAAACTACCTGGTCCTGAGCTTTCGACCTCATACTTATTAAACGACTTCTTCGTAGATTCAACAGACCGCCCTCTGCCCCGCTTCCAACCGGAGAAGTCACCGGTCAACGGAATTGACGACGAAATCGGCATGGGAGACAACGCCAAGGCCATTGAGCCATCGGGACCATACTTCCTTGGCCTCCCTCTCTTCTTCTTAACATCTGTGCCTGGAGTCGCCGTCCCCGTCACCGTTGCTGGAGCACTTACAGGAGCCGGAGCCGCTGCTTCGGTCCCGCCGGTGAACTGACCGGAGTTTTCATTCCTCGAAGCTACGTGGAAGCTGTCCGGGGCATCGTTATCCTTCAGCACAAGCCCAGAACCAAAACTCTCCTTTTCCTCCATTTATATAAATCAGAGAAAACAAAAGAAACACCAAAACCTCAAAAAATGCTTAAACCCCAGCCATTGAAGGTTTCAAACCTTATTTTTAACCCAAATAATTAGAGCAATAATATATATAATCTTGAATGTTGTTGCTTTCTGCGGAGGAATATATTTGAATCAGGAGAAGGAAACCCAGAAATAGTACAACAATGACGTTCGAGCTCAAAAAGGAAAATTGCAAGCTGACAGAAAACTTCAACAGATCAAAAGCTTTTTCTCTGAAATGATGAAACAGACGAAAAATCTAGCAGTGCAATCGCAGAAGTTGAACCTCTTCTGAGACAAATATACAGTGCTGAAACTCAAATCTCCACCATTGCAGGAACTACAGAGAGCTTCAAAATTTCCAGAATTTCGAGAAAAAATATCAACAATTACGGAGAAAATTAACTCATCTGCTTCACAAATTTCTCCGGCGTGATATGTGAATTTAGGGTTTTGCAGGAAAAGGAGTAGTAAATAAATAAAGTTGAAAATTGAAAATTTATAATTAAATAAGATTAATGAAGTAATTAAATATTGGTGATTTAATTATTAATTAATATTTTAATTGCAAAATTGGAAGTATAAATTGCGGTTAAGAAATTGGTTCACGTCCGTCTTGTAAATTTAATAAAAAGTGGTTTAAGATCTATTAAATGAATCATGAATGTGAATAGGGATGCACCTAATTTGAATTTGAACAAATTAAAAAATGAATATGATTGTTTTTCGAAAAGAGAGGAAATACCTTTTTTATTTGAATTTGTCGTTTATTTAAGTAAGATCTTTAAATATTTATACCCACAAAGCTGTAAAGTTAAGCTTCTGGCCATCCCCATTGCTCCAACTACTGACAAGTTGTTTATCTTTACAGTGAAATTAAAGTTGACCAAAACTCTTAAAATTGAAAAGTCCTCACTCAATGAGATAATCAAAATAAATTAAGATATTATCACATTATAATTTTTTTTAATAATTTCCAGAAAGATCTATACTATATAATTATACAGTATACATTAGATTGGATGATGATGAAGCATATGATACCATAAATATTTCTATTTGGTGAAAAATAAAAGTTAAAGTTAATTATATGCTCTCGTAAAAGGGTGCTTAAAAATTGTAAAAATGTTTTTACTCCCAAATATTACTTTCACCTTCTTTTTTATGTTTGTTTATTGAATATTTTTTTAAAAATAAATTATTCAATCAGTGTCATAGTAAAAGAAAATTTTTTTTAAAATTTTTTTTCCCATATTAACAATGAAAAATTAATCTCTTATTGGACAGCAAATTAGATAACTCTAAAATCTAACAAACAGATAAAAGAATTAGACCCAATGCAAAGAAAGGACACAAGAAGCAACAAGCAAGTGGTTAATTTGATGTTTATGACTGTAAGGTTCTTAAGTCAGATTTTAAATTTTCAAAACTCTGAATTTTTTATGTCACTACTTTAGAGAAATTTTTTTAAATATGTATTTTTTAACATTTACCTCTAAAATAATCTCTTATCATCACAACTTAAAAATAGAAAAGAGATTCCAATGTTTAAATATGTATTTTTGAACATGTACCTCTAAAATAATCTCTTCTCATAACAACTTAAAAATAGAAAAGAGATTCCAATGTGCCAAGTGATACTATAAACAACTGTGAAAAATTTGGGACTGTGGGCTGGGAACAAGCATTCTTGCTTGATACTCTTGTAGCCGTTAAAGTTTGCACATCCTAATTATGATCCTTTTCTAATTTGCAAGCATGTCAAACAATAAAACAGTGTTGTCAGTGTCCCCTCGCGTGTTCAGATTGTTTCACATGTCCAATTCAAATGATAGTGTTGTTTGGGAAGATAAATAAATGCGAAATGTATATGCACCAATCCCTTTCATCGCGGGATAAACTTTATTGCAGGGTGCTACATACAATTCAGGAGCAATAATACCCCAAGTGAGAAAAAATCAATAAGATTAAACAAAGGGGGTAGTTTTGTCTGGGTGCCGGTTTTCGTCCTATTTGCTGTAATCAACTAGAATTTTTACACTAATTTATTGATATTGTTGACCCATTCTTGGATTTGGATTCTTGTGTCCAGTTCCAGTGCCCTACATTGTTTGGGCTTCTTTTTTTTGGCCATTTGTAGTGTTTGCCATCACTCACAGATTCTTGTTTATGGGTATAAATATATAGCCTTGGACGCAAGTGACACGAATCAAGCATATTTTTACAGGCACAAAAATGAGAGACATGTTTCCAATAAATAAAAAGCCCAAAACAGCAAAACAGCAAAACAGTATCCAGTTAGAAAACCTCCAGAATGGAGAATATGATAGACTATATATACGTACATGACTGGGAAGCCAATTACAATTGACTTGAAAGCTTCTCTACCACAGAAGAATTCAAATGATTTTCTTTAAAAGAAAATGCTACCACAACACAAACCCAGCTCTTCTCTCCTCGAAGGAGTATTCTATCTCTTGAACCACAGAGTCACAGCCAAATGGAACTGACAGGGGAGGAGGAGGAGGCCGGAGTCATAGCCATTTTCATGGAGACTGAAAGTGCCGACGACGGTGTGGTGGGGATAGGGATAGGCAGTACTTTGGGAGTCTTGTTCTCTTCAGCATCTTCTTCTATCATTGTTGCCGCTATCTTGGAGGGAGTAGTGAATGACACATTTTTTAGTGCCATGACTTTCTGCGACTTTTCGCTCTGTACGCTCAACTTATCTGCCATGTTTGCTCTTGATGATACTGTTGCTGAAGATATAGGACAAAAAGGTTGTCTCGTCATAGGAGATTTTATGTCACGAAGTGAATGCTTTTTTCTAGTGACACCGGCAACGCCGTACATTGTTGCTGCATAATCAAAGGAGGTGGAAGACAACATGTGAGAGTTCGAATGTGGTCTATGAAGTATGAGAGAAACATGGTAAGAAATATATATACATTCTTGTTTATGGCTATTTTGTGGGACCGATGTGAAACACAAACACCAAGGAAAGAGCTTTGCTAAATATACCAGCCAGAAATTATGGGAAAATTTATCAGCTGATGTAGCTTTGACTTCCTGCTTCAATATGAAAGACAAAAAAAATGCCTACACCTTCCGGGGGTCCACCACAAGCACTCTTATAACAAAGCCGTCAAGAATAGTGGGGAGAATCTGTTGGAGCATCATCGTCTAAAAAAAGGAAAACGTGAACAAATATATCCTTCTTCTGTTGGCAAATTATAAGCGTTAACTTCTGTTCATGGTGATTGATTATTTCACTGCTTTCGATGAGAAAATGGACCCAAAAAAAAAAAAGAGAGAGAGAACAGAAGCAAAATTTTGATCTTACCAACAATTATGCTCTTTTGGTTAACAATCTTTGGACCTAGAAACTATACCATCCCACACCCCACCCACCCTCTTACCACTTCCTTAATCCAGAGTATAGGCGGCTTAATATGTGTAATGATTGCTTGATCTCTGTGTTCTCTTCTCAGCCAAACAGGAAGAAACACAGTTACCAAATTCTTACAAAGTGAGAATACTGCAAACCATAAACAGTAAGTTGCAACAGTTAAATAGAAACTACCTGATGATAAAGAAGAGTCGCCATCATCCAAATGATTGTATTCATCAAGTTGGTGAGCATTGTCGGTCTTCCTCGTTGAGCGTGACTCAGTACCTTTCGAATCATGTTTTGTTGTTTGAAACGTTGCTCCACCATGTCCTTTATTAGTTGCACCTCCAGCGGGCATCCTAGATGCCTTTCTCGGAGTTTGAGGCTTTGATGAACTAGGTTTTGACCCATATCTTGCTTCCTGTTCTGCTACTATTTGTCCCTGAAGTCTCCTCAGATCCTGAAACAACGATAAAATTTTTCTGACAAGTTATAATTGAAATGAAGGAATATATATATATACACTATCTATTGAAATGACACTTCAAAGAATGTGACTGAGCTTTCAATGCAGTAACAGATCCATACTCGTTGCCTACGACGTTCTTGCTCTTTCTCTTGCCGTAGTGTATTGTACTCTTCAAGCATAGAAAGCAGAGAGATCTGAAATATACACAGCAGTACTCTATTTGGACATTGGGGTGGATTTACTTGTAACATACAGACAATAAGTGACATCAAATTTTCAAAACAAGGCCAACTCATTTATGCATCTTACATACACCATCATATGTGAACTCAATTCCTCTTTCCTTTTCCCATGCGATCGCTTTTGAAGTCAAGGCATCCACCATTGCTGTGCATAAAGACATCGTAATAATGTATATACAAGTACAAGCAACACATTGGTGACTATAATTTTTTTCAATAAAAAGTTTGGTATAAAATTTTATTGGAGATTGAATGCAATAACAAGCCTTATTTTATTAGGTTGGACTTTGTTAAATGTTCCCTTTGGTTGTCCTCTAGCCTCTTCACAAAACTCAAAAGTGTCCATTCTATTTTCCTCAACATGCCTCCAACAACCTTCCTTCTACATATCAGAACCCCTTTAAAAGATTTTATATAATTTTCTTTTCAATAGATATCTTGCCAACTCTTTCTCATCAATCTTCATTATGAATCTTATCTTTTCTTATATGATGATACATTCACTGCCATGTATTACTAGCAATCTGTCTAGCATTTGATCAAAGTGCTATGTTGAGATTTTTATCCCACCCTTCCTTCCCCATATTTATGCCTCCATTTTAACTCATCAAGACCCAAGTTCTTTAAGCGGGGGAAAATGATGGGATATGAAATAGTGCTTGATTAAAAATTTTAGATATTTCATAATTTTATTTATTATTAGAGAATAGTTGATTTTAATGTTGATTTGAAAGTTATCTTCTATCATCATTAATCGTCATTTCTATTTAATTTTAAAATTCTAGAATGTTCTTTCTTTAATTCCTATGGTTAGAAGTAAGGCTATAAATAACCCTCAACACATCTTATTTTGTAGACCCATTATGAATTAAATAATATTGAATAATGAGTTTTTCCCTCTCCCCTTCATTAGTCTAACTTCCCCCACCTTTTTTACTTTTTCTCTCCCTCCTCTTTAGTTTCTCTACCCCTCTTGTCTGCATGCGCTGACTTACCTTAAAAGTCTTGATTGCCATTACATCACTATTGTTCAAGTCACCTTGAAGAGTCAAGTTTTGTTGTTGGAGGACGACTAACGCATCTCGAGATCACACACACATCACACATAGGTGAGTTAGGAGCTAAGTTCTTCAAGTCGTGAAGAAATGATGGGATATGAAATAATGATTGATTAGAACTTTAAGAAATTTCATATATTTAGTTATTTCATTGAATGTCATTTACATTTAATTTTAAGATTATAGAGTGCTCTTCTTTTAATTCCTAGGGTTAGAATTGAGGCTATGATGGGGACTTGATAGCATAGGATATCAAGTCCCACATTGAGTAGAATAGGACACTCAATGGGGTATTTAAGTGGGTTGATTCTCTCACCTCAACAACTAGGTTTTGGGGTAGGGCTCCCCATTCCACTTAGATACCCATCAATTAGTACCAGATCCAGACTGTTGACAGTCCCAGAGAGAGCTATCTACGGAGGGTTCTGATCGGTAGGATATTGAGTGAAGTGTCATAAAGTGTAGCTGCCGAGAAGTCGGTTTTCCATAGGCCAATTGATGGAAACTTGGTAGTATGGGATACTAAGTCCCACGTTAAATAGAATGTAATGCTCAATAGAGTCTTTAAGTGAATTGGTTCTCCCATCTCAGTAGCTAACTTTTGGGGTAGGGTTACCTATCCCACTTAGGTACCCATTAGGCTATAAATAGCTATCAACAGATCTTATTTTGTAGATGCCTTATGAATTGAATAATATTGAGTAGTGACTTTTCCCTCTTCCCCTCTAGTAATTTGATTTCCCTCTTCCCTTTTTGGAGTAGGGTTACCCATCCCACTTAGGTACCCATTAGGCTATAAATAGCTATCAACAGATCTTATTTTGTAGAAGCCTTATGAATTGAATAATATTGAGTAGTGACTTTTCCCTCTTCCCCTCTACAAAATATTGAGTAGTTTGATTTCCCCCTCCTTTCTTATTTTCTCTCCCTTCTATCTAGACTCTCTAACTTCTTTCTTGTTGCTTCCCTTCGTATATCTTATTTTGTAGAAGCCTTAAGAATTGAATAATATTGAGTAGTGACTTTTCCCTCTTCTTCTCTATTAGTTTGAATTCCCCCTCCTTTCTTGTTTTCTCTCCCTTCTATCTCGACTCTCTACCTCTTTTCTCCTTCACTTCTCCAAAATAGATCACTCCCTAAACTCACTATTTTAAGGCTTTTGGTTAGGATATGGCATCAAGTCCATTTATAAGCATCCTCTAGTTGCTACCGAGCATGCTTTGGATTCTACCCTTTTTTGGATGCTCCCTAAGCTTACCAAGATAGAGGGGGGAATCGTTTAATGACAAATACAAGTGATTTAAATAATTGCGCAACTCAACCATCAGCTAAACAAGTGATATTAAAGCTCGATGAGCAAGCATTCAGAATGCTCCTGAGTGCAAATAGGTAAATAGGTAAGCTTGATGAGTGATCATCCAAACTCATTACTGAGTGTTGAACACAAGTGATTTAAACAGCTGTGCAACATAACCATGGGCCAAAAAAGTGATTTTAGAGCTTGATGAGGGAGCATCAAGGGGAAAGTTGAATAAGGGATGTTTAACATCAATTAGATCTGTAGATTTGCAATTGACATTTTTTGCTAGGTTAGAGATGTCTATGTTTTGTTATATCGGCGTCAATTTTTTTTGGGTTTTTGATAAAGGTGTGGTTTGTCTGTATAACAATATTCAAATCTAAAGGGTTTGATTGTGGCAACTTTAGCCTTATTGGTAATTTGAAGGTATAGATCATATCTTGGCCTAAAAGCTTCAATTCCCATTTTTTGAGGTATGATAGTGATGAACTTAGTTTTCAACCACTCTATCTCTAAGAGGGATGATAGTGGTTCCAGTCGGTGGTGCATTATTCGAAGCATTAGTCATGGAAATGTGATTCATGAACCGGTTTTGCTTGTTATGTGGTTGAGAACGGATTCTCCTTTTCCTCCTACTCTCTCCATTTGGCTGGTCTAAGTGCTTCAGATTTTTGGGAGGGGGTGTTAGCTACCCCTCGTCCAGTGCCCTCCCTGATGCCCTAATCTTGACCATTTATTTCATCTAATGGCTAAAAAAACCTCACTGATCAAAACTAGTCATTTTATTAAGACATGTTTTCTTTTCACTTCCCTCACACAGCAGAGTGTCTTTTTTATTAGTACCAAGTAGTTTTTTTTCTCCTTTTCTGGAGAATACAAGAATTGAAGTAGGAGCATTTTGTAAAGACAAAAGCAAGAAGGCAAGGAAAGACAACGTTTTTCGTTTAAGTACCAAGACAGAGAGTGAATCAGAAGGCTTGGGAAGTGTTCGTTACAGACGTGAGAGCAATAAGTTTGAGAGGGGACAACACTAACTACTATCATTCTCACAAGTCATGACTCTCTTAATCTTGACATGCCCTCATTCACTACCTCTTTTTCATCTTCCTTCGAGTTGCTCTCACCACCTTCTTCTTCATCCTTTTGCCCTTTGCCTCTACTCACTAATATCAACCACTTGCCATATCTTCTTCTTACCATGAATCTAATCAGTGGCTCTAAAACCTTGTCATCGATCCCTCATTTGCCTACATCATGCGTGTTCATTCAGACAAAAGGCTGGCAACAAGAGTCTCAACGCCGCAAAACGACCAGATTTGATTAATGAGTATTTCTTACTGTAGGATGTTTAAGGTAGTTTTCTTTGAACCTTTACCCCTTACAATGGCGTTGATGTAGGTGGTGAAATTTTTCTACTAGTATATTTTGATGAAGAGACAGCAAGGGCTTTGACTTTCTTGAGCGCAGCATCTTCCTTGATCTTTTGTTAGAATTAGGTTTGTTGTGCTATCTATCTAGAATGTAAATAGTTTTAGGACTTTGTTTTGATGGACTTCTGTTTTTGGGCTTTGTATTTTTTTTCATGTTTGTCTTAAAATACTATTTTCTCTTGTGGGAAAAACATCAGCTAGGTCTCTTATAACACACAAGTGGCAGATTTGATGACCAAGGCGTCAGCTCAAGGAAGTTTGACAAGCTAATATTCAAGTTGGAGGATAGATGCTAATCAACCCCATCTTGAAGCACAGAGTTAGAGTTCAAATATTTAAATATTTTATTTCATATATTTTTCTCATATTTATTTTAATTGATTGATTTTTTTTATAGATTTTAGTATTAACATAATTTTTTAGGATAAAAGATTATATTGATTATGTCAAGTTAACATAATATTTATCTAACTCAAGGGTTAAACCTATTTTATGTATATTCAGATCAAGGGTTTTTATTAAACAAGAGAGCACACAAGAATACTTTTGTTTTCCTTCAAATTTATTAACAGCACATTAGCATGAAATTGAAAAGATCATGTGTATGCTATGCAGGTTCATTTTTCAAGCTTAGCTTTGTCCTGTCTATATCATTGGGCCAGAAAAGAAAAATGCCGTCTACAACTTTAAGGCAAACCATTAAAATATGTATCGATCTAAATGTTTACCTGGCATTTTATTAACCAAGGCACGGGCTTTCTCAGCTCGCTTGAGAATAAGATGAGTTCCTTTGCCAGCATTATATCGATTTTCATCCTAGATAAAACAAAATGAGCAGCCAAATTGAAAAGGAGATATATCCAAAATGAACATGTTAAAGGAGGATGTAACCAACTAACTCTGTTATATTCCTCTAACCAAGTCTCCTCGTCACGTGCAGCTAGCCATTTCTCAACCTTCTCAAGTATTTCTTTTCGGCTAAACGCTTCCTCTTTTACTTTGGCAATCTGAAGCTCAATTTGCTCAAGTACACAAGCTGGGTCTACAGATCCTGCAGCAGAAATGAGGATGCACACGCTTAGCTAGCGGGAGACACACTTAATTCGAGTCTTTACATGTCACTCGGCAGAAAGTTGCCTGACTCTATAGCCTCAACAACACATTCGATTGCACTGCCTTCTGAAACCAAATGTGTCTTTCGACAAATCTCCTCTAGCTCTGTTCTTTTCCTCAACACCAGCTCTTTCATTTTGCTTGCTTTTGTATCTTCGAGCCTAGTTACTTCGGCCTCAACCTGCGTTAAAGCACAAGTTCTCCATCAATTATGAACCGCGTAAAATAAATAATATCGTTATCATAATCCAACTAACCATAACTTACATAATGAATGAACTCCATAGACAAGGTGTTAGGCTCAGTCATTTCATGTTCTGAAGCAGCTATGTTACAAGTAACATTCTGAAACTTCTGTTGCTCTTCGACTGGTGTATCCATCAAGTTCCAGAGCTCTAACATAGCCGTCGCAAGATCTTGAAGCTGCCAGACGAAGAGCAAATGTCTTTCCCATCATTAGCCTCAAATAAGAGCAAAAAATTCTAATTCAAAAGGAAAGAAAGAATGAAAAGGAAAAATCAGCATTTACCTTTTGCATTCTCTGTAATTTAACCTCCCGCAGTTTTTGTATAGCAGCATCTAGTTGCTGGATTGCATCGTTACTTACACTCTTAGATCCTTCAGAGTCCCCTAAACTAGGATCAAGATCGCAGAGCGCCTGCTTAAAGTCCAAACCAAGCACTGAAGTTAAAGATTTTAGTGTATATAATTTGTCTTGGACCTTTTTGAGACGTTCACTCTGCGTAAAAAGAGCATACAAGCATAATCAGTACCAAAGAGGACCAAAGTTAGCTGTTCAAATATGACCAAACAGAAAACAATTGACCTTTTCTTTTTGAAGTGTATGCAGTTGTCTGTGCAATTTTTCGAGCTTTATCAAGGTTAGATCATATTCCTCCACATCATTTTTCAGAAGAGCAGATTCTTCGGGGCCATAGATCTCATTAGATATGCCTTGTATCTGCTCTTGGACGTCTAGAAATTGATTTCTTCGGTCAAACCTCCTTTTCCGCATCTCCTCCAGCTCTGGAAGAATAATTTGAAGCTCTTCCCTCAAGCTTCCTGCTTTTTTATCAGACTAGAAAAAGAACAAAGGAAGAGAGAACCAGTCCTCCTTAGCAGTCTAATTGGATAGCAAATAATGTCAACAGCAAAAAATCTAACTCAAAATAGTATCAGATAGTTATTTTAAATTTTATCATCTTTTGGCAAGAATGCAAATTGCTCCTCTTTATTTCTTCATTTGATACATAATATGGTAACCACATAGATACAGTTTTGCTACAGATCTCTATAATAGTTTCGGGAAAAAAATTTTGCAACTTAGCTCATTAAGATGGCTTTATCTCAAAGCACATAAATCAGCAATCTACAAAATATCCTTGTCAATAAAAAAATGTGCAGGATGTTTCTAACCTGTCTAATATGCACAGGTCGTTCTCCCATTGCTGAACAGATGGTTGCAAGTTCTGCTTCAGAATCAGCGATTTCCTGCCTTAACTGAGCTCTAGACTGGTTTGCCTGATCTACTTTTCTTCTGTACACATGTAGACACTCTTGTTCGAGCTCAAATAATGTTTTATCTCTTTCAGTCTTGGACACCCCAACTTCATCCCAAATGTTCTGATCATGGAAAGTGAACTTTTGATGAGATCACCTCCAATTTAATGGTACATACTGGGCTTTTGAGGGGAGGGGGAGGGAGATTTACAATATCGATCAGAAAAATATAATGCATACCTTAAGCTCATATAGAAGTGATCCGCAAGTTGTTTCGTACTGTAGAAAAGGGTCATTTTGGAGTTTAGACATTCTGGAGCACTTTTATCTGCAAAAACAAGCTATTTTAAAGGATATTTTAAAGGTTGAAGCATTGAAAAAAAAATCAAAGCGGAGGGAATCGATGGTGTTATAAATTGAAATGTCTTCACATCTACAGAAGCCAAAAAAAAACTTGCATGAGAAGACTGACGGCTCACTAGTTGAGCAGCCAATCAAGAGAAATTGAATGCCAGCATAGAATTATTCATCATCTTAGAGGCCCTAGCAAAACGAATACAAGAAACAGGAATCCATCATCTTAGATTCAGTTAGAATGACAGAACGCTCAAATTGTGTTCCTGTCTCCCTCCAAAAAAAAAAAAAAATCCACCCGCACAAGGAATACTACAAAAGAATTTTAATTGAGACGAGAGAATTCAAAGCGATTGCCTAAAGGACGGGCATCAATCCCTCAATTTTTAATTGCCGAACATGCAGCACGTAGTGTTTTCTTTATAGACACTTTTGAAGGGAAAAAAAATCCACGCCGCACCTTTATTACATGGGACAAGCCGAAGAGCTAATTGGAAGAACATATTATCCTATATTACTGCCTACTGTGAGAATATCATTTGTCTTAATCCCATTGTCTTTGACCTCAAAAAAACAAACTGTCCAAAATCGAAAATGAAAACAACTAAGATAGTAATTGTTCTTTTCATTATCCCCCGTGGTGCTAGTGAAAACTGATAATTGATCAATCAGAAGTTCAGAACTCGTTACTTCAAATTCCAACGAAAAACAGAGCATTCTGCCATTAATACATATATCAGCTCTGAAAAACGGGATAGAAATATATGATTCATAAGAAAAAGAGAAAGAGAACACAGAGAGACGGTTCAACAGTGAGAAATTGAGAATAACAACCACAGAGAGACGGTTCAAGAGTGAAAAGGATATATTTAAATTGAGTTATTAATCCCTCTGTCCTAAACAAGGAAATCTCGCTGCTGTTTCTGTCACCTTCCTCGAAAACAAGATTCTGAGAAAATAAAAGAAACAAAATGAAGATGAAACAAATGATCCAAGCACTAACCTGAACGGGAGAGCGGGGAATAGGTTGTGTTGGAAATCCAAATTCTCTTTTTTCTGCGCTCCCGAGGAGAGGAGAGGTCCGGAGGAATGATCTTCCAGAGAAAATATAATTGAGATTTTCGGGAAAGAGAAATTAGAAAGCAGGAGAGATAAAAATGAGGAGAGAAACTATAGCCGTTGGTCCGTTTCGGAGCGTTGCGAGCGAAATTATTTGGTTTTTAATTTTTCGTTACAATACTTAACCGTTGGGCCGATCGTATGGCGTTCTCTCCAAGAAAACGAATGATGAATAATAAGTCCCAAAAAAAAAAAGAACAATGAATAATAATTATGGGAGTGATGGCAAAAAAAAATATTACTAATCCTGGGGGTAAATATGAATTTCAGGTAAGCAGCCTGAAATCGCCCGTTAGTAATTGGAAATCAGGACGATGATCCCCAAAATCTTTCATCTAATGACGAGCCTGATCTTACCGATTACACTGGATAAATGTTTCTAAATTCGTTTATTTCAATTATACTTCCACAAAATCTTCTGTTCCTTTAGTAAATTTTCTAAAAAATAAATTTTAAAAAATTATTTTGATTTTTAACGGGGTAAATATTAAATTATTTTATTAAATTACTTTTTCTAAGAAAATGAGTCTCCTAGACTCCTACCTTATATTCATATTCATAATGAATAAATAATAAAAAGGCGTCAATATGGGATTAAAACAGAATAGAATAATCGTTTTTTTTACCAGCAAAATAGAACAATCATTAAAGAATTACTACCTCCGATTCTTAATATAAGAGATTGTTTGACATTTAATTTGGTTTTAAATATAGGATCCAAATCCATCTTGTAACAGTTACACATGTTAAATATTCTATCAAATAGTAATTTTAGCCAATACATATAATTAGTAAGGGTATTCTAAAAAAGATAACACCTATTTATATAAATAACCAACTTAATAAACTTTTTTTGTCTATTTACATTAGTCAATCAGCTCTTATATTAACATTGATATTATTCACTATAATTGGTTCTCATGCCAATACATTTTCAAGTGTTTAATTAGAAACATCACCCCTACCACCTCAAAGATGTAATAAACAGTAAATTTATAAATGTGTTCACATGGGTGAAAATTGCAGGCATTTATTAATGAACAAAAATCCATAGCTGGTTCAAGACTGAAAAACAGCAGACATGTCCCGAGTAAGAGGAAGGCATTGTTATATATCTTTCGCTACGTCAAATCGACAAACGTATTGGTAACAAAAATATACCTCACTTATTACAACGGATAACAACTAAATTAAATGAAGGCAAAAATAAATAAATAAATAACTACATTGCTGAAGGTGATGTCCAAAGTCATGTCATAGACATAGCCTATATGGTTAGATACAAAATAATCAAGTGAACAGATTTAGCCTATCCAGGAGCACCAACTAACTCCAAATTTCCAATAGCTTAACAGTAGAAAAGTATGAATGTATTATATTTTTGTTGGAAAACTCTATAGAAACTTTTTCCTAAACCTTAGTCCTCAAATGAATCAAACTTCCTAAAACTAGTTTCTTCTCTTCTCAAAGTTGCATATTTCGGCTCGTGCAGAAACACATATAGCTTGATCATCGCAAGAAGGGTGTTGCAATGAAAAATTCTAACTCCCAATGTAGAGCTTTTCCCAAAGATGGATTTCTATATTTACCTAAAGATTCTTATTGACAAACTTTTTAGGTAGGTCGAAAAGCTCCACTTGTCATGAAATAGGGCTTTCCATAGCAATACCTTTAAAAAGAAATGAACTTCATGATGACCTTCCACTGTTATATTCTCTCCTGATAATTTCAAACACAAGTTCATTCCAAATATCAACAGGACCAGGCATGCACCAGTGTAAGCAATCCTGTGGTGGGGCCCTTCCATTGGGTCCAGGTTTTGTAATCTTATTCGGGTCGGGGCTCCTATATGGACCTGGATGACCATCATGGCGATACTGAAAGGCATCAGTGATATCCATCAATATCAACTTTGATCTATTCCTTGCCTTCTTTATTGCAAGGTTAAACCCATTGACTTGTTTCTCATGCATTGTGTCAGTATACCCATTTTTCACCAGTTCACCAGCAGCAAGAGGCTTAAGCTTCCCAGTGCATGATCCTCCAGTATTCCAAGCCCCACCCTCATAATGATCTGGTGAATAGGAGCGCAGAATGGTAAGCCCAGTGTAATTTGGATGGTTAAGAAAAGCAGTAAGGATTGTTTCAACAGATATCCCATATGCTTCTATGTTATTAACCTTTATAGGTCTAGACTGGTCTGGCCACCACAACTGTCCTCCTACTATCTCATTGTTCAGTATGTACACAGACTGTTTGGCAAACCAGTGGCCAGAAGAAATGACAACCACATCGAAGGTTGGGAGAAAGTTCATGACCTTTTCATCAGGGGCATCAAGAAGCAGCTTATCCACCCCAGCTGGAGCAAAATCAAATGGCTCATTTGTGACTTTCACAAGCCAAGAGGACCATATCCGAACTATCATTACAGATGTGGACCTAAAATAATATCGCTGCATGTTTCTGTTTCCTCTGTTCTTGGGTACCTCTACCTGAAAACAAACATATTTTCCAGTCATGCATTTCTCTGTTGATTAATGGATGCTTAAATGCATGCTCACTGCGCACACACATGTACAGGTATAATGGACAGATACACACACACAAGAACAGGCGACATATAACGAAGTGATGGGAATCATCAACCACCATTAGAGTAACAGTTGGTATGAAGATGCTTTATCAATGTAATGGAAAAGCCACTTGAATACTTGATAACTATCCTTGAACATGTTTTGGAAAAAATGAAGAAGAATTTGCATCAAAGGTTTCTGAATTGATCTTGCCACTTTCTGGCAAGAAAACCATTTCGGTGGCACAAAACTAAGGCTTGATCTTGCTAAGTCCAAGGTTCCTTCCATTGTTGGGATAACTATTACGGAAAGAGGTTGGCATGAAAAATGGAGGACCACTCGGTCCCATCTTTGAGGGGAAAATGTCGACGTGACTCGCATAAAATACATCAGGCTGCTCTTTAACTCTTTAGCATGCTCATGAACCAATCACTCCCGAAATTTAACGACATAGAAATAAGTCGTAGCTTCAAGATGCTAAGCAAGTGGTAAAGTTACTTTTACACAAAGTATGGAATAAAGAAAAAAACCTGCCAAAGAATACACAACATTGATTCCATCTGATTTCGAGCTACTGAATCTCCAATGAAAGCCAAAGTCTTCCCTCTCATTATCTCCAAAAATTTCTTGGGATCAAATCGTGGAAGGTTACACTGAAAGGGCTTCCATCGCCAGTTCTCATAATCCTTGTCAGGCCTTCCATTACCCTGACAGTTCTGCATTTGAGTTAATACAGGGCATGAATTGTTTGTATATAATGGTCCTGATGGATCATGCACCCAATTGCCCTGGTACAAATCACATCCTGCACAATATACAAAGCAAACATCATTTTAAAAATGATAGTGTTCAAAAATTCCTGATTGAAAAGATAATATTAGCTCCAATCCTTAATATAAGAGCTAGTTTGACTTTCAATTTGGTTCTAAATATAAAACCCTAATTCACTTTGTCTCTCATATTTATTCATTTATTTTCTAAGATAATCCTTATACTAGTTGCATATCTTAAATGTTTCATCAAACGTCAAAGCTAATACACTTGATTAACAAAAGTATTTTAGGAAACACAATATCTATTTATTACAAATAACTAATTTAGCAAACTTTCTTAATCTATTTAAATTAGTCAACTGGAGGTAGTAGCTATTATTATATTATATTGAGCACATAAAACCTCAAATAATGATGACATCGTCTTAAAGAACAGTGTTTTTGAGATCATTAGAGAAAGAGAGAAAACTAAGCCAAAAAAAAAAATAAGAACTTGATTTTATAATTGATCATATACAACAAGATCGCAAACGAAATGATGAATTGCAGGGCAAAAGGATAAGAAGTACAAACCTGAATCAACTAGACCTAAAACGGATGCATTTTTTGGCGTATCAGATGATGCTGGAATGGACCTTGATGTGGAATCTGGAGGCGTAGTGTTCCCATTTAATGACGTAGTCGTAATACTAGACCCATTAATCAAATCCACAGAAGCAGGCTTGTTAATTCTAACATTTCTTGTGACATCACTGGAATTATTACCACTGTCCGCTGCAGAAGTTGAACTTGAATGAATGGACGAGCTAATATTAACCGCGTCTTCCCTGGATACCAATGGTACCGCAAGTGCTTGTGGATTAGAAGCCACAGTAGCAGAAGTTTCTACTCCATTTATGGTTTTTGGAAATTTTGGTGAAGTAGATTCATGGAAGGGTGCTGATGAATTTGCTATGGTATCATTCTGTTCTCTGTTGGTATCAGTTGACACATAGCTAGAGGAAACTGTCGGAGATTGTAGATCAGGAGATGCATTATTGTGTACTAGATCTAAGCTTTCATTCAAGTTAACATTTGTAAAAGTGCTATTGATTAAAGAGACTGGCAAATCAAACTTTTCAACACTCTCTACACCGTAGAAATATTTATGGACTGTGGAACCAATGGGATAAGATATAAGAACCCAGGAAGCAAGAATTAAAAACACAGCTAATCCCCCCATTGAAACCACAATCCAAGAAAGAGACCTCGGATGGGAAGACATTCTGAATTTAAACTGCTTCTTGAAGCATAAAAACTTTCAGAACAACGTAAGATTAACAAAACCAGAGGTTTCAGTAGCGAAAATGCCCCAGAAAGCCCCTGTTATCCCACAAATAATCAAGGAAATAACAAAAACACTTGAAAGTAGGAGTAAATATCTTATAAAATATTCGCAGTCTAATATTAACTATTGCATTACATCAGAAGGCGATCATATATAATCGGCATTGAACTCCATAGCTCCGGGCCACGAGGAGAATGGCATGATTTTCAACGTAATTCGAATACCTAGAGCAGGGGGAAAATCAAAACTCATTGGGATCACGGAATGAATGAGAATGTTGCAACCTCACGTATCGAGATTTCTGCGATATAGATGTAAAAACGAGCATTCAGTCGCTGAAATGAATATGAATCAATCAAGGCATTGGAATGCCAATAAAGAAATATTTCCGGGAACTATATTAGCATCTGATGACAAATTCACCCTGCAATTTATGTTCCGAATATATGAGTGAAATCAGGACAAGTTTTGCCCTTTTTATGCTTTTCTCTTCGTGCAAGGCACCGGTATTCACGTAAATAATGGTAGTACTAAGCACTGAGAATGTTGAGCATAAACTTGTTTGTTTCGTTCGGATTTCCTCATTTTTAAATCATGAAGAGACAGGTGTAAATAGGTGACGTGGCAGTCGTAGATAATTGATATAGGTGTAAAAAGCTGACGTGGCAGTCTTAGATTATTGATGTGGTAGTTGTTAACAGTTAGCTTTAATTCAGCTGTAAATTCTTGAATTTTGAGTTACAAACATGCGAACTTGATAGCTGGTTAGATAGTTGTAAATATTTGAGATTTTGAGGAGATAGTGTTAACACTTTGCAGGCATACATGTCCAATGGTGAGTAAATTTTCAAAGTATTCTCTTCCATCTTAAATATAACAATTAGATTTATAGAGATTAAAAAAATTAGCTACAGTAATTTTTTATAAAAAAAATATATTATTTTTTCCCAAAAGTGCCATTTATTCATTTGTATTGAAAACTATCTTGATAAAAACCTTTTTCATATACTACCTTTGGTCCTAATTATAAGAGTTAGTTAACTAATTTGAAGAAATTAAGAAAATAAGTTGAGTTATTTATTTGTCTTAAATAGGTTTTTTCCTCTAAAATATCCTTACTAACCAAGTATATTGGCTAGAACTACCATTGTTAAAAGGATTACCTTGAAAAAAAAATGAATATGAGAGACAAAATGGATTAGGATCTTATATTTATGACCAAAATAAAAGTCAAATAAAGTCTTATATTAAGGACCGGAAGTAGTATATGAAAAAAGTTTGATTTGGCAAATAAGAAAATAGAGTTTGAGAAAATAATTAAGAGACAAAATAAATTAGGATTTTATATTTAGAATCAAAATAAACCTTTTTTTCTATCTTTTAAGAAGGGAAGGAGTTCTGGTCTTTTAAGAAGGGAAGGAGTTCTCGTCAAAAAAAACAAGAAGGGAAAGAGTATATTGTCATTTTCATATTGGAGAGCAAACCATGAGGAATCAAGACGGGAGCATGCATAACGAAGGTGGGACATGGGAGGGCAAAAGGAAGAATAATTGATGAAGACAAGACACTAGAAGAATTGAAAGAGAGGAGCATGTATTTGCTCCTCTTCAGACAGTACAACAATTTATATTTATCGGTTTTGAACCTTCCATAAACTGCATAAAATCCAAGAAATCTTCCTTCATGGTCATCATATTTGGAAGGTTTTTGAAATTTAACATTTGACTGCAAATTATTTTTAATCTCCCCGGTAGTCAAATTTAGTTCAGATAAAATGATGAGATATAGCAAGTCTAAATATTCTAATAAACTTGGAACTACCCAGCTCAGAGCACCGCCATGTTCAAAGGGCACAGCTATGGCTTCTAAGTTCAGCACCTGTGTAAGAGAGCATTTCAGAAATTAAAATCCTTTTTCAGATGCCTCTTCTTTCTTTCATTCCCTTTTCCTTTTTGGTGATAACAGGAGCAAATACAATTACAAATTACAATCATGAGCCAGCCAGCGAATTCAATTGCAATAATAAGCCCCCATTCTGGGCTATAGCACCCACCTACCACTGCCTCTGGAGTTTTATTTAGTACATAGCAGGTGGAAACAACTTAAACATGAAATTGTACCAGCATATGCTATGAAATTAGGATATCAGCCTTCTGATCATAGATGTAGCATCATCACTCTATATATGTTGTTAATATCATAATCTTAGTGATGGTCATTGTATGAATTCCTGAGATGCTACTGATTAAAGGAGCATCCCAAACTATAAGCACACCTTGGCTATTTCTTTAGGTGTAAGGGCGCCTTTAATGTCCTGCTTATTTGCCAGTATCAGTAGAGATGCTCCAGATGGTCTCTGTATATGAAAACACCGAGTATTACAAGCTAAACACTTTTGAAAAAATGTAGACTATGACAGAGAAAGAGGATTCAATCTGGCATCCCAAATTGGTATGGCTAGGAAATACTTTGGTTGGTTTTGTCGCAGAAAATATTTCTTCTTCTAAATCTAAGTGGATAAATCTTCTCAGAAGTAAAGAAGCAAGTTATTACAAGGAAAAGCAAAGGGACTACTAAAAAGGCAGCAATCCTTGAGCAGCATGCTGCCTTGTACACGTGGTAGACTAGCTCAAAGCATGTATAGCAGTTTAAGCTAGTCAAACAAGAGGAGGATGGACTAATGATATAATATTCCAAAAGAATAACTTGAGTAAGCAAGTTTGCTCAGTTGATGAAAAATAAATATCGAACAAACCTCTTCCTTCAAAAGGTTATCCAGCTCCATTTTGCAATCATCCAACCTTCTTAGATCTGAACCATCAACTACCCAGACCAAACCATCTGTTTGCTCAAAGTAGTTTAGTCATGGTAACAAAAATATTAAGGTTTTAGTCATGGTCAAAAAAATTAAGGTTTTAGTAAGTCTAGTGACACTGATGATGAATGTTGTAATTTTTTTAATTACTGAAGAATATTTTCATCATCATGAAAATATAATATTAAATCAATCTTTTGCTCAAAATGAAATTGCAAAATGTTTAGATCTGATTTATAATTATTTTAAAGTTGGGAGAATTCCAAAAAAAATACTTTTAAATTTTAAAATTTTAAATCACTTATTTATCATATTTTAATAATAATTCATAATATTTAAAAAATAAATGACAATATATTTTTATTGTCATTTCTGAATTTAAATTTTAAAATTTTAAAGATTTTTTAGAATTTTTTTTCCAAAGTTTTCCCAACAGTTTTTTTCCCCCTGAAAATACATGTACCATTAACTGTTAATTTTTAGAGAAAATCCCAGATAGGAAAAGCGAGCCCCTCCACTGTTCGAACTTAGAACGTTTCTTCCAAAGCTCACCCTTCCTATCTCCGAGCGTCGAGTGGTCCTTCATGAAAGACGGCATGCTCACTCACCGAAACCCACTAGAAAACCCCTCTCCCTGACTCCCTCTCCCTCTATAGTTTTTCTCTAATGGCCGCCGTTCCCGCGCTCTCCCCCTCATTACGCACAATTTCTCTTCAGGCTCCTCCTTCTTCAGCATCTTCGAAGCCCAACCACCTACAATTACCTTCTACTTTCACATTGAGCTCCCTATTCGGAACAAGAATCGCGATTCAAACCTCAAGCCCATGTCGTTCCTTTCCCCATGGCAAGTATTGCCGTGCGGCATCCGCCACCGTCTCGCTTAGTCTTCCGTCCACGTAGGTTTCTCCTTACTGATGGTAAATCCTTGCTATGGTGATGGGTTGATCGGATAAGGTTTTAGGTCGGTTAAAGTTTCTGGTTTTTTCTTTTTGCAGGAAACCCCCGGCGGCTACTCCTGAGAATTTTCCAAAGTGAGTGCATTCTTATGAAAATAGTAAACTAGCTGTTTGGCCTTAAATAATTAGACCCGCATGCCTTTTAGTTCTCAAAGTTTAAAACTTGGAGCTGTTGATCGTTCCGTGATGAGTTTGTCACTTTTGAGGGTCAATTTTGTATTATGCAATTTCACAGAAGCAAATTTTCTCAATACCAAGTTGTTAAATGTTAGTGCATGTATTTTGATTCGTGGGGTAATTGTTTCGGTGGAATTAGATGGTCAGCAAGGGCGATAAAATCATTTGTGATGGCGGAATTGGAAGCGAGGAAGCTCAAGTATCCCAACACAGGAACAGAAGCCCTTCTGATGGGTATTTTAGTAGAAGGTTTGGTACAAGACTACCCTTTAAGTTACAGTAATATAAGTGGTCAAACATTGGTAGTTGATCTGACCGAATTTATACTGAATAGCATATCTTCTATCATATTAAATGGGGCATGTTTAACCTTTTTGTGGGGAGTTATATGTATTTTTTGACAAGTCCTACTTTCAACATCCATGGATAAGGATGTAAACAGAATATTTTAAAATTTGTTTCTGGTACTGTAGAAAAAGACCATAATTTGCTTTCTTGCCTAGGTCTTCTTGTTTCAGTTGATGTCATTGTCATATTGGTGTATAGCCATGCAAATTTGTTCCTATATTTAAGAAATGTCTATTCTTCACAATTTTTGTGAGAATGGAGAAAGAGGGAAGGAAAAAGAAATTTATGATTCAACACCTGTGTGATTCTTTCAAGCTAGTTGTTCGGAACTAAAAAGCTGTGGAACAATGAAAATTCTTATGGAATTCATTTATGTTACCAAAATACTTCATCCCTGTGTTAAGAAGTTAAACTATGTAATTATGTTCTTTATTGTATATCTTTTTGTATACCACCTTAGTTTTTCGTTATGTTGTGCTTCTCAAGCAATTTTTTACTTTTCTCCTTCTAGGAACAAGTAAAGCGGCAAAGTTCTTGCGAGCTAATGGAATTACTCTTCTCAAAGTACGGGAAGAAGCATTAGAACTTCTTGGGAAATCTGACATGTACTTCTTTAGTCCTGAGCATCCTCCATTGACTGAGCCAGCTCAAAAATCCGTTGATTGGGCTGTTGAAGAGAAATTGAAGTCAGGTATTGTTGGTTTCCTCAATCATATGATAACTAATTCTATACATTGGCTATCAGTTCCATTCCCAGAAATACTTAATTTTTTCCTCTTATATATATATGTATATAATGCCATGAATGTACAATTGTTCAGCTAGATTAAGCTGTTCGGTTTTGAAGGCTTACAATTCTATTCATGTAGGGTCTGTTATTTTAAAAAAGTCCTCAATTGGAGTGTAGAAATTAAATTAATCTTAAATATATGTTGAAATGGAGGCTTACTATTTGCTGTGGTTGAGTTATTGGTGCGTGAAATAAAAGTCCCTGTGTTTTATATGGTGGGTCAAGCAGAAAGAAGTTCATCTCGTGTGTCTCACCTGTGAGAAAGATGCTCAAGTGTTAACTTATGTTCTGCATCATGTTGACAGAATGAACTTATGCCATTGATATTATGAATTCTTCAGTAAAAACTTATGTTCTGCATCATGTTGACAGAATGAACTTATGCCACTGATATTATGAATTCTTCAGTAAATGCATCATGCTAATATAGGTTTTCAACTTCGAGCTTTATGCCATGTTCCTAGTCAGTTCAAATCCTATCTAAATCATTGCTGACATAAAGTTAATTGCCACTCTATCGAAGTCCACGTTTGCGGATCTGCAAGGCATAGCTTTTGGCACTTTGTCTTTTGAGCCTGGGGTTGTGGCCTCTGTACAACTTTGGAGATATCTTGTTTGGTGTTTTGGCTTTTCTTGTTGTAACATGAGCTCATAAGTTGCAGGTGAAGGTGGGGAGATAACCGTGAGTCATTTGCTCCTAGGAATTTGGTCACAAAAAGAATCAGCTGGTCACCAAATCCTGGCTGCCCTGGGCTTCAATGATGAAAAAGCCAAAGAAGTTGCTACATTGGTAAGTTTCCAGCTCAGTTGCTTGTATTTGACTGATCATGACTACCTAATATTTAATGTGCCATTTGTCATACTTGGGGAACAGATTTCCCTTTTTCTTTTTCTTTCTCTTTCTTTCTTTCTGATTATTTTTACTAGGTTCTTGTAATCATTACTCAATAGTTCCTATATTTTTCCTTTTTTTAAAAAATGAATTAGACCTTCTTGATTCTACTGAACGTGCATAGATCTCACTTTTTCCAAAACAATGCAAAGCTCCGTTGAATATTGCGGAACTTATACAAAAATCTTTTCTTTTTTCAAAACTGACAGACTTTCCTTGAAACAAAGTAAATTATACAAATCTCTTATTTGTTGAAATTTTAGAGACTTCTCATTGATATTCATTCGCATACAAATTTCCCCCAAAAAAATGAAAAAAGAAGGCTTGCTTCAGGGGATGGTTGTGTAGGTTTTGAAAATACAAGAGAATTTTGTAGAATTCTAGCAAAATTTAAGTGTCCCCCCCCCCCCCGGGAGGAGAAGAGGACATATCCATATAATTTCCGTATATTAATTTAATTTATTCCGCTTCGTTTGTTTGTTACAGTTGAACGGTGATGTTGATTTGAGCTTCAAGCAGCAGGCCTAAGAACTTTGCTTCAGTAACTTATTGAGGTTGCAAATAAACCACTCTCTTTCTCAGTGCAAGTTTACCAACAAAGTTTCTGCATGATGGTCCTTTTAGACATCTTGATTCCAAATTCTGCGCTACGCCAATTGGAGGCTCTGCAGTTTTCTCAGTATCCCGACAAGCTTTTGGAGAAGAGTTCAAGAACTCAGTCTTTTGATTTTGTATCTTCGATTGATCAAGTTGTATAACTGGTTGAAGCCTTTCTAATATTTAAGCCTTGGATTGGGATCCATCTGTAAACTGTCTTTCTTCTCTTGGAGGCAAATCACCCCTTTTGTTTTTTAAAATTTTCACGGAAATATTTCATTCTTTCTATGTGGATTCACAGGTCGTGAATCCATCTAGCTTCTCGTTTAGATTGAAGACGCATACGATCTGCTCCGGTTTAATAAATGTTTACAAAAGTTAGGCATGCCGATTAAATAAAAAAAAATCTTATAAATTATAAGACTTAGTTTAATTATAAGTTGTGCAGAAAATTTTTATCATAAATTTTTAAACTATAAAAGTCTTAATTGTTGGCAAAAAAAAAAACGATAAAAGTCTTAATAGTACAGCAAAATAGATTTTACTGTTTATTCAACCATAATAACCTGTAGGGACTACTAATTTTTGTTTTCAAAATGTAGTTCCTTTTTGCATTTTTGCTGGAGAAATTAGCTAAAAGTTATTGACTAGAAAATTAATTGTGCAAAGGGATCTTAATTTGACAATTTGTTTTTTCCCAACATCATCATTAATACGAGTAATATCCAAGAAATAAAAAATCGAACTGATCTATGAACCGGTTGAATTAGTGAGTCAAGGAATCACTGGTTTAAGTCGGGGTTAACCCGTAATCAAACCGGTCATCATTAAAATAATATGATTTTTAATTATATAGTAAATATATTATAACAATAAGAATAACAAAAATACATTTTATGCCTAAAGAATCATCTAAAAGTTGGCAGAATTTAAATTTTTCAAATTATCATAAGAATAAAAATGAGTTTTTTTTTAATATAAAACTTGAAATATTAGCATCATACGGATTTTATATAGATTTTTTTTCTTATAAACTTAACTAGAGGTAGACCTATACTTGCACACACATATATATATATATATATATATAGCCTATGTCATGATCACCTATACCTACTAGTCTGCTACAAGTATAAATGCGAAATAGGAAATATGGGCTTTAACCATTGTTTTTTCCTATTATCCAGTAGTTTTTTGGATGTCATTATTTTTTCTTTTCCAATGTGCAAAACTGAGTAAACTGTCGATATGATATCCCCGTATCACCTCAATCCCATACTTTCTTCCTTCACAATTCACACACTCTTCTACTTCTTTTCTCTACTCCATTTGTCCTTCTCCATCTTTTGCTTGTCTAGATAATAGAAGAAAAAAATAGAGCCTGGGGAGCAAGAGCTCAGGCATGGGCTTACTAGAAAAGAACAACAGTGATGGAATGAGAAGTGGCTAAAGCTTAGAGCAGTCGCCATGCAGACAAGAAAAGAAGACGAGTTAGAGTGACGACTCTCAAGCAAGACAACGATGACGGAGTTTTCTATTTAGGGATTTGGAGAACACAATCACAAAGAGCAAACTAAAGCTGTGAAGCAAGCACAAACGAAACCAATGTTCATGTAAAGTCGGAACTCTTCTTCTCCTTTATTTCTTTTTTTATTGAAAGAAAGAGAAAAACTGTCTGCCATAAAAAAAAATGATCCGGCTAACACAGCAACCAGCAGGTTACTCCGGTTATATCCGGTTTAAAGCAGTCTGTAACAGTTTAGTCCGAGTTAGGTTTTCCCGGTTTAGGATATGAACCAGACTGGACAAATGGCCGATTTCTGGTCTGAACTGGCCAGTCTGGTCCCGTTTTTTGTACCATGGTAATATTCATGGCTTCTGGTCAGATGTCATAAACTCTGAAAAAAAATTAGGGAAGAGTCTATTATTGAAATTTTATTAATAAGAATGATTTTATAAATTATTATATAAAAAAAGCATCGTACTGTATAACAAAACTCAAGTCAAAAAAGTACTGTATAATAAAGCTTCTAGTAAGGAATGCTTCCCTAATTTTTCCTATGAAAAAAGTATTAATATACATTGTACAAAAAACCGGATCGGACTAGCTAGTTCAAACCGAAAACTGGCGAACCAGTCATTTGTCCTGTCTAGTTCATATCCTAAACCGGGAAAACCTAACCTAGACTAAACTGTTACAGACCACTCTGAACCGAATATAACTGGAGTAACCCACTAGTTTGCTGGGTTAGCCGGATCATGCTTTTTTATGGCGGATAGTTTTTCTCTTTCTTTAAAAAAAAAAGAAATAAAGGAAACGAAGAGTTCCGACTTTACATGAACACTGGTTTCGTTTGTCCTTGCTTCTTTGTTTTGCTCTTCGTGATTGTGTTCTCCAAATCCCTAAACAGGAAAACTCTGTCGTCGTCGTCTTGCTTGAGAGTCGTCACTCTAACTCGTCTTCTTTTCTTGTCTGCGTGGCGACTGCTCTAGGCTTTAGCCACTCCTCATTCCATCACTGTTGTTTTTTTCTAGTAAGCCCATGCCCGAGCTCTTGTTCCCCAGGCTCTATTTTTTTCTTCTATTATCTAGACAAGCAAAAGATGGAGAAGGACGAATGGAGTAGAGAGAAGAAGTAGAAGAGTGTGTGAACTGTGAAGGAAGAAAGTATGGGATTGAGGTGATACAGGGATATCATATCAGCAGTTTGCTCAGTGTTGCACATTGAAAAAAGAAAAAATAATGACATCCAAAAAATTGCTCGATAATAGGAAAAAACAATGGTTAAAGCCCATGTTCCCTATTTCCCATCTAAACTTGTAGACTAGCAGGTATAGGTGATCATGACATAGGCTACATATATGCAGGTATAGGTTTACCTCTAATTAAGTTTATAAGAAAAAAATAGATATAAAATCCGTATGATGCTAATATTTCAAGTTTTATATTTAAAAAAAAATACTCATTTTTATTCTTATGAGAATTTGAAAAATTTAAATTCTGTCAACTTTTAGATATTTTTTAGGCACAAAATGTATTTTTTTATTCTTATTGTTATATAATATATTTGCCATATAATTAAAAATTATATTATTTTAATGATAACCGGTTTGATTACGGGTTAACCCCGACTTGAACCAGTAACCCTTGACCCACTAATTTAACCGGTTCATAGACCGGTCCGGTTTTTGTTTCTTGTTAATATAATGAATGCCTGTTAAAAATGTAAAAAATGTTGCACTATTTATATTTATGAAATCCTCTTTCTTTTTGGGGGGGATCCTCTTTTTTCATGGCAAAAAAAAGCCTTTTGTTTCAAAAGAATTTCATGAGATTCTGTCTAAATATGAGTCAAAACCCAAAATTCTAGCCCGACAAAATCAAAACGTTGACGTGCTGGAATATTTGAGTGCTCCCGCGAGTTCATTTCATCTTCTGAAGTTAGCCAACCTACACATTCGTGGGTTGGCAACAGTTTAGCACGGTCTGAAGCAAAACCCTAGTTCAGGGTTTAGCCTGCTTCAGTTTTGTACCTTGCATTTCCTTCTTTTCCGTTTTCCACTGCTACTGTACGCGCATTAGCTCACTCTCAAGATGAGCTTTGCTGCTTATAAGATGATGCACTGCCCGACGGGCATAGAGAATTGCGCTTCTGGGTTCATCACGCATTCTCGCGCTGACTTCGTACCTCAAATCCCTCCGATTCAGACCGATGACCTTGACTCGGAGTGGCCGGCGAGGCGCGAGATTGGTCCCATTCCCAATCTCATCGTTACTGCGGCGAATTTACTGGAAGTGTACATTGTGAGGGTGCAAGAAGAAGTTGGCAGAGAGCCGAAGGGTAATGTGGAATCCAGGCGTGGTGGTCTCATGGATGGCATTGTTGGGGCCACGCTTGAGCTGGCTTGCCATTACAGGTTTGCCGCTTTTTGGATATAAGAGTAGGGAAAGGAGAATAAATTTGCGTTCAGTTTACCCACGCTGGAATTTAGAATTAAAATCAGTCTTTTGGGCGCATTAGTTCAGTTTTGTTATGACTCCTATCCGCTCCAGGTTGCATGGTAATGTCGAAACCATGGAGGTATTGAGCATTGGAGGCGGTGAAGCTTCTAGGAAGAGAGATTCTATCATCTTAACTTTTAAAGATGCGAAAATTTCAGTTCTGGAATATGATGATTCTAATCATGGACTTCGAATAAGGTGAGGGGAAATTTCAAACCGTCATTTGAACACACTCACACAGACTCTTGTGTTGTTAAATTCTGTTATTAAGGGTGATTTTTTGCTTTATGCTACTCTGCACTGAAAATCTTAATCATGTTTACGGAGAGATAACTTGTAGAAAAATGTACATTCAAATGAACTGTATAGCTGGATTACATGTTTAAGGAAAGGTGACTTACGGAAAAATCTGCGTTCAAATTCACTGTGTAACTTGGATTAAGAGTTATTTTGCCAGACTTGTCTGTGTGTTTCTTGACGTGCTATATCCTCAGTTAATTTTTAAATGGTTGGAGGAATTTTAGAGCTTTCTACCTGAAATGATAAGGACGTGAAATATTCTGATTGAACTTGATTAGATGGGATAAGGTGTATTTGTATTTTAAATATTTTAATGGGACCCCTTCAAAATTCTTTTTATGTTTTATTGAATGGGAATGATTATTTCCGAAGGAAGTAATTTTAGAAAAGATGATGTTAAATGTTGGTATCCTTTTTTCATTATTTTTATAGGAGGCATCTTTGGCAGGTACATAGTGGGATTGCGGGTTTTACAGTGTTAACTTTCTTATTCCCTTGCTGGTTCTTTCTTATATTTTCACTTTTTCACATGGATTTCCAGTTTTCTGTTGGCTTAATTTATTTTTTATTTATTATTTATATAGGAGGAGGTATATGTTATCCTCTTCTTTATTATTAAAATTTCTTAATTTGTTTGAAAAATTGAGCATGGAGATGGTCGAGCACTGCTAGACATTTGTGGTCGCAAATCATATCCCATAGCATGGGGTTTGGAAAGTTATCGGGTGTTTCTCTTAGTGGTTGGAATCATGGAAGTCTTTTTGTGGAGCTTGTTTATTTCAAGGAGATAATGGCACTATTTCTTCTTATTTTGGATGCCATTTTGTCTGAAATTATAATACTATTATTTGGGATGTCTTTAGGTTAAAGGAATACCATTGTATTATGATCATAATTGTATTTGCATGGTCATTATTCTAATTTAATTCTCATCTCTATATGGATGTACTTGTGTGTGCTTGTTGTGTAT